TCCTTCATTAACTCATATTTCTCTGAGTGAAAATTTATTTTGACCCGGATTATAGTCTCTAGAAGTTTCCCCACTACTGACGTTAGGCTGACTGGCCCTGCACTTCTCAGGTTTATCCTTCTACTCCTTTTTGTACAGGGGAGTAACATTTACAATCCTCCAGTCCTTCCCTGGTATTGAAAGATTGTGGCCAGAGCCTCTGTTATTTCACCCTTACTTCCCTCAGTAACCTAGGATGCATCCTGTCCAGACCGGGTGATTTGTCTACCTTGAGCACCGACAACCTTTTTAGTACCTCCTCTCGGTTTATTCTTATCCAATTTCTCTACCCTCTCCCCCAATACTGTGGCAGTCACTTCATCCTCTTCTTTTGTGAAGACAGATGCAAAGCCCTCATTCAGTACGTGCCCTCTGCCTCCACAAGAATATTTCCTCTTTGTTCCCTAATTAGACCCACCCTACCTTTGACTAATCTTTTATTCTTTATATGCTTATAAAATACCTTAGGATTCCCTTTTATGTTACCCACTAATCTTTTCTCATACAGTCTCTTTGCCCCTCTTATTTTCTTTTGCAGTTCTCCTCTGTACTTTCTATATTCTATTTGATTATCTTCTGTATTTTCGACCTGACATTTATCATAAACTCCTTTTTCCCTTTTATTTTAATCCCAGTTTCCTTATTCATCCAGGGAGGTTTGGATGCCCTACCTTTCCCATTTGTGGGAATGTATTTGTTCTGTCCCTGAACTATCTCCTCCTTGAAGGCTTCCCATTCCTCATTAGCTGTTTTACCTGCCAATGTTTCTTTCCACCTTGGCTAGGTCCCTTTTTAACTCACTGAAATTAGCCTCTTCCAGTTGAGTATCTTCACCTTTGATTGTCCCTTTCCATAAATACTCTAAACCTAATGATGCTGTGATCACTGTTGTCCAGATGCTCTCCTACTGAAACCTTCTCCACTTGCCCCACTTCATTCCCCAGAACTAGACCAGATTGCTTTCTTCCTCGTTGAGCTGGAAACATAGTGATCCAGAAAGTTATCCTGCACACATTTCAGGAATTCTTCCCCCTCGTTGCCCTTTATACTGTTATTTTGCCAGTCTATGTTAGGGTATTTGAAGTCCCCCATTATCACTACTTCCATTGATTTCTCAAACTTCCGCCCCATCTCCGACCTCCCTTTCTTCTCCGAGGTCCTGGAACAAGTTGTTGCTTCCCAGCTTCGCTCCTTCCTCTCCTTCCACTTGCTTCACAAACTCCTCCAATCGGGTTTCCGTGTCGCCCACAGCACAGAAACAGTCCTGGTCAAAGTGACAAATGACATTCTGTCCATCTGCGACCAGGGTCCCTCTTCCTCCTCATCCTCTTTGACCTCCTTGCTGCCTTTGACACCACACTATCCTCATCCACCGCCTCTCCTTTCACGTCAACCTTCACGGCTCTGTCCTCGATTGGTTCAGATCATACTTCTCACACCACCTCCATTTCATCTCCACAAACGGTTTCTCCTCTAGCCCCTGCACCCTCTGTGGCTGTGACCACTTCCTGGAACGTTCGATCCATAAACTCTTCAGCCTCTCACATGCTGTGTAGTGACACCAGCCTCTCCTCGAGCTCAGAAACTCTGAGTTCAAGCTCGAGCAGCCGGAGGCACTTCCTACACGCGTGTCTGTCCAGGGCACACAAAACATCCTGGAGTTTCCACATGGCACACATTGTGCACACAGCTGGTCTCAGCTGCCCTGCCATATTCCCAGACATGTTTTATATTATTTTAATATAACTATTATATTTTATAATTATGCACCTCTTTCCCCTCTGCATCGAATTCCCACCCATTCTCATCAAATTCCTTAACAGAATTCTCACTCTGTTCCACCTCACTCAGTTCTCTCCTCACACTGCTGGGCTCTCTGCTCAAGAAGAAAAAGAAACTTTGTGCATTTACTGAAGGTCCCTGGGCATTAGAAATCTATTCTGTGATATTTCTTAGTAGGGATTTATTTCTTAATGAAGAATATTAATATTATAATAATAATCATTCTTGTTCTCACAAGATATAGTTCTCACTTGTCTACTGCACAACTTGAAACATACAACAAAATTATATTTATAGAGAGCCTTTCACGTCGGGAAGATGTCCCAAGGCGCTGGAACATAGAACCAGGAGTAGACCATTCAGTCCCTCAAGCCTGTTCTGACATTTCATAAGATCATGGTTGACCTGTACATGAAAAGAGAAGGAGATGGGAGTTTCTCCCAGTATCCTGGCCAACACCAACAAATTGTATTTTTATAGCACCTTTCACATCAGGATGATATCCCTTTTCTTTATAAATTGTACTAAGTTATACTTTCACCCAAGTCCATTCACTTAAACAACCAAAAACAAATTGAATTTGTATAGCTATAGTGTATAGCGGAAGGACATCCCAAAGTGCTGGACAATTCAGGGTTTGCACATAAGACGGGGGTTGGAATCAAGAGGGTGGAGAGTAGGGTAAGTGCAGTGACTATTCTGAGAAAAACAGAGCAGCAATTTCTTCCTGGCCCACATCAATCCACCTGCTTATTGGTGAATTTATGGCTTTGGATAAGGAAGGGATATTGCTGGATGGTAATCAAGCATAGACTCTCCCCCACCCATTATTCCAGAGAACTTCCTGGTTCATGAGGTGGGGTAAGTCCCTAGTTACTAATAATTATATTTCCTCATAAAAAGATGGAGCCTTGAGGAATCCATCCACCACTTTAGCAGGTGGCTTCAGTTAGGAGCAGAAAGTGTCTGAATCGGCAGTTCACTTCATGACTGTTTGTGGGACCCTGTTGCATGCAAAATTCACTACACTTCACAGGTGTTCAGCCTGGCTCAGCCAGTAGCACTCTCACCCCGGCGTCAGAAGGTTGTGGGTTCAAGCCCTAAGTTGGAACTTTGAGCCAGTGGGTATTTGAGTGTCTGCCTGGACACTCCATTTGAAGAGTCAGACAGGGCCTCAGTTTAATGTCTCATCCAAAGGTTGGCACCCCAACAATGCAGCGTACTCCCAGCACTGCATTGGAGTGTCAGCTTGGGCTGTGAATGCAAGTCCAGACGTGGGGTATGAACTCATGGCTTCGCCACTTGGAGTTGAGTGGAGTGTGGGGCACAATGCTGGAAATGGGGTGGTCCCAGAGTAGTGGGGAGTGAGACACAGTAATTACTGTTTGTAATGGGAGTGAGAGCACAAAGGAATAAGGAGATGAGGTAAGAGCTTGGCAGTAATTGATCTGCCCCATGCTAACAAAATGTTTCAGGCATCTTGAAGGAGTGAATCGTCTCCTACTGTCCCATTGGTGCAGTTAGTTAAGGAGTTTGAGAGATACTTGATAAGTTAGGATGTTAAGAGATCTGGAGATATCAGAGTGACCGTAGAGGTAATAACGACACAGGCTGAATGGCCCCTCCTGCAGTCAGACCACACTGCCCCCCCCCCCCAGGCTGACAGTCAGTGGCTGGTCCGACATGTTAAGAATGGTCACTTGTGCGAGGTAGCAGAGGGGTTCCCCCCACACCACAGCACGAGAGGAGGGAGGGAATAGTTAACACTGAGCACTCCCTCACCCTGGAAGGTGCTTGAATTTTTATTAAACATGCTTCACACACTAAACCCGCTTAATGGCACCAAATGATTTTGGTCGTCCGTGTGTCTGACACATACAGGAACCGAGCACCATGCTTAACAGTCTCCAATCCAGGCTGAGAACACATGTATGGAAAACAACATCTACTACTACTTGTATTTACATTAATTTTTATTGACAAGGACTTTGTCTCAGCAGATTGTGCATAGTTAAATATCCTCAGCCTTATCTCGCTTCCTCATGGGGCAGCACTGTGTGGAGTTTGCTACTCAGCTTGTGTGCACACCAGCTGTGCGTGTTAGGGTGTTGCTCTGTGTGAGTGGCAGTGAGTGGTGGTGAACAGCAGTGACATGTGTTGAGCGGTGGTGAGTGGTGGTGGGCGGAGGTGAGCAATTGGTTGAAGGAAAAGATTTTAACATCAGGAGGAAACCTCAGACAAAGGCCACACCAGCAAGAATGGTAATGAGGACAACAACAACACCTACTACTACTTGTATTTACAGTGATATTCACACAGGGCAACGTCTCAGAGCACTTCACAGTGTGGAACCTGACACCGAGCCGGGGGTAGAGGGGAGAGCATTCTATTCCAGACAAAATAAAATTTCCATACATATGTTCTCAGCCTAGATTGGAGACTGTTAAGCATGGTGCTCGGTTCCTGTATGTGTCAGACACATAGACGACCAAAAACATTTGGTGCCATTAAGCGGGTTTAGTGTGTGAAGCATGTTTAATAAAAATAATCCTTACATTTGATGTTCCGCATTTCAGGTTGGGAGGACGTCCCAAAGCATTCCAAAGGACATTACTGTAAAATGTAGAGACTGGGCAAATGCAGCAGCCAGCTTGCACAAAGCAAGGTCCCACAAACAGTCATGAAGTGAATCATCAATTTTATTCGGGGGATTGTTGGCCAGGATACCGGGAGAGAGAAACTCTCTTCTCTTTCAAATAGTACATGGGATCTTTAACGTCCACCTGAACCATCCTTGGTTTAATGTCTCATCCGAAGATTGGCACCTCCGACAATGTGCAACACCGCCAGCACTGCATTGGGGTGTCAACTTGCACTGTATGAGTTCCAAGTCCTGTTGTTATGCTTGAACTCACAAGCTTCTGACTGAGAGGCGAGAGTGCTACTGGACTGAGCCCGGCTGAAATCAAGTCTAAGGGTTCCAGTAGAAAAGGAGTTTTTGTTGTGGTGGGGGGGTGGGGATGTGTGTGCTGGGGGGAGTGAATGGATATCGGGTGACGTGCTGACGAGCTTGTCATGGATACGATGTGGGTTTATGTTCCTTTCTCCAAATCCCAGTAAGTGGATTCTCATTGTGCTTTTACTCATTAAATAGGCAGGATTGGTGATCATATCGGTGACTGGTGACAATCATTGATCACAACTTCCCTCGTGGGACCTCAGCCCCTCACGTGAACGCTGGCAAACTGGCGCGTTCCACCCCACGGGACCACTTCACGCCGTGGGACCCCTCCACTGCTGCACTCTTTCCCTTCAACTTTGACCATGACCTTCCCGCGCCCATCTTCACCATCGGCACCGATGACGCGGAGGCGACGGGAGTCGCTGAGCTGCCTTGGAACCGTGCCAGCCGCAGAGAGTGCCGAGATGTTGGTACCATCACCGGTAAGTGAGGCAGTCACTGTGGTAACCGAGGGGAGGTGACACTAGGCAGGCTTGAAGAGGAAGGTCTTCAGATGAGATCCGAAGACAGGCAAGGAGTACAGGCAAGGAATGAGACAGGCAGTTCCAGAGTCTTGGAACGTAGTGGCTGAAAGCACGGCCACCGATGGTAGAGAGGAGAAGACAAGGGACATTCAGAAGGCTGGAGCCAGCTGAATAAAAGATTTTCCCTCCAGCATGGATTGACTAGGATGATTTGGGGTTTGAGATGGTATTAATATGAAGAGAGGCTGGCGAGTGGTTCTATTAGAATTTTTGCCTCTGGAACAGGAGAGGAGGTATGATCAAAGTGATTTAGCTCTAAGAGTGGTTAGATAAGGATAAATTATTGCCCTTGGGTGGGGAAGGGATGGCAAAAGGGGGCCCACTCTGAGAAGTGTTGACAGAAAGGAGAGGTTAGAAGGAAGTTTTCATTCAGAGGGTTGTTAGAGTCCGGAATTCACGACCACAAGTCATGACTGAGACCGGATCAATAGTATCATTGAAACAGGAACAAAGTGGGAATAAACATTGAGGGAACACTCAGCAGGTCAGCCAGCATCTATGGAGAGAGGAAAGTGAGTTAACTTTTCAGGTCGATGATCTTCTGTCAGAACAACAGCAATATTTTGCGTAGAAACATTGAGGGATTTGGGAAGACTTTTAGAATTAATGATAAACAACAACTTAATAATAATAACAACACAGGGCCCTTCAGACAGGATAGCATCTTGGAGCACTTAACAATGGTGGAGCGTGATGCCGAGCCAGGGAGAGGGGGAGGTGACCATAGGCAGGTTTGAAGAGGAAGGTCTACAGGTGCTATCTGAAGACAGGCAAGGAGTAGAAGCAGAGATTGAGGCAGGGGGTTCCAGGGTCTTGGCTGAAAGCGTGGCCGCTGATGGTGGACTGGAGGAGACGAGGGATATTCAGAAGTCCGGAGCCAGCCGAGTGAAGGGTGCGAGGTACAGAGATACGCGGCTGATTTGGAAATACAGGCAACTAGCACAGATCTGACAAATCAATTGTGGTCCCAACTTGGATTATGTGCCTCAGGGGAGCGAGATGAACTCTCTGGCCTGTAGCTCCCACAGAAAGGAAGGAGTTTGTTGATTTACAGAAGTTAATAATAATAATAGATAACAACCTGCATTTCCAAAATGCCTTTCATGTAAACCTTTCTAAGCATTTCACAAAGTATAATTGATTTGAAATGAAAATGCATATTGTTGAGAATAAGCTGTAATGTGTCAGTCTGCTTTGGTTGGTAGCATTCTCACCTCTGAGTCAGAAGGTTGTGGGTTCAAACCCCACGTCGACTTTGAATTCACATGGCCTTTTGAACTCTGGACTGATATTCCAGCGCAGTGCCAGGGAGAGGGGGTCTGCATTGTTGGAGGTGCTGTCCATTCGATAAGACCGAGGACCCGTCTGCCTGTTCAGCTGAATGTGAAAAGAGAGTTTCTCCTGGTGTCCTGGCCAACAATCCTCCAGATAAAATCAATCATTCACTTTGTGGCTGCTTGTGGGTTGTTGCTATGTGTAAATTCGCTGCCCATTTATCCACAAAAATGCAATCACCCGACTTCACAGTAAATCCTGTGAAGCGTTTTAAGACGTCTCAACAACGTGATAAGGCACTGTATCAAATGCAAGGATTATTATACTACATACTGTGATAATGCTGTCATGAAACTCAGCAGCCGGTCTTCACCAGCAACAGGGCAAAACCAATGTGATAAGCAACCAGTATAATTTGAAATTGGGGTACATTTGGATTATATATATATATATATAACACAAATGTCTTAAAACACACAGTACCCAGTTCCTGCCCCTGGAGGGCGCAGTAGGTGTAAATTGGAAAGATGAAGGAGACCTGTGAACCTTGGCGGGTTTGGGTGTCGACGAAGATAATAATAACCATTGCATTTGATATCACGGTTTATCGTGTGGTCAAGGCGCCTCAAACTGTTTTACAGCATAAACTGTAAAGTGCAGTGACTGTTTAACAACGCATCCCAGAGCACTTGGCAGTGGCAGAGGCTGAAGCCGAGCCAGGGGAAGGTGACCATAGACACGTTCGAAGAGGCGGGTCTTCAGGCGCGATTTGAAGATGGGGAAAGAAGGGGCAAGGCGGAGGGATGGAGGAAGAGAGTTCTAAAACACGGCAGCCAATTGTGCACAGTAGTGTCCCACAAACAACCATGGAGTAGCCACTAATTTTATCTGGGGAATTTTTGGCCAGGACATTGGGAGAGAGAAACTCCCTTTTATTTTCAAATTGCGGAGTGGGATCTTTAACATGTACCTGAACAGAGAGACAGAACCTCAGCTTCATGTCTCCCTGTTCATTCTCCCTGACAATGCAGCCATTCCCCAGCGCTTAGACAATCTGCTTCCAGGTCCCGACGTGGGGCTTGAACCCACAACCTTTTGACTCTGAGGCGAGAGTGTGAGTGAATGGAGTGACTCAGGCTGACACAGGGGTTGGAGTGTGTCTCCGGAAGGATGTCCTGAGATGTTTGTGTTTGTCCGAGTCTCAGGAGTTCAGTGTTTGTGTCCTCTCCGCAGATGTGTCCCTCAGTGAGAATGTGCCCGAGGTGGAGATTATCAGCCTCCTGGAGGAGAGTGTCCCACACTACAGGCTGCGGGCGGACACCATTTACGGCTACAGCCACGATGACTGGCTGCTTACCCCCCTGGTGCCCCCCGAGGTCCCCCTCAGCCTCACTCCAGAGCAGATCGAGGAGACCTTCAAATACTTCTGTACGTCCCAGGCTTGGGGTGGGTGGGGGAGTGGTGGGGGTGCGGTGGGAGAGGCGGGGGATCTGTACTGCCATATGTCTCGGCCGTCGGACTCTCCATGGGTGGGAAATTTTAGTGTAACGTGTGGAGCTCTGGGTGTAACGTGTGTGGAGCGCTGGGTGTAACACGCATGTGGGGCGCTGGGTGTAACACACGTGTGGAGTGCTGGGTGTAACAAGTGTATGGAGCGCTGGGTGTAACATGTGTGTGGAGCGCTGGGTGTAACACGCGTGTGGAGCACTGTTCAGCAAAGAGAGGAAACTAAAGACAAGCTCCCTGCCTCCCTGTGATACTGCCACATGCACTTTATTTACAGCGTTGTGAAAGGCATCACAGGGAGACACTGTATTAGTGAAGCCTCGTCTGTTTCAGCGCTTGGTGATGACACCTCCACCTCTGCCCAGCTGTGTGTGTGCTTGGGGGCAGGGGAGAGGTTCCGTCTGTCAGGGAGCCTTGAGGCGGATGTGCAGACAGGCAAGTCAGCAATGGAGGGTTCATCCTGTCACTGCGGAGCTCGGCAGATGTTCTGTGTTACTGTGGGGGAGGGGGGAAAAGGGGGAGAAAGAGAGGGGGGAAGAGAGCCTCCTGGGAGTCTGTGGAGGTGTAGCCACAGAGGGCAGATTCCATCACCTTCAGAGATACCCAGGGGGATTTTCCCGGGAATAATGGGAGATATCATGTGAAAGCAGAGATTGCTGTGTAACACTTGGATGAGGGTATGTGGTGTGGGTGTGTGGGAGTGTGCGTGTTAGTATGTGCGTGTATCAGTATGTGTGTGTCAGTGTGTGTGTGTGTGTGTAACGTCAATCTGAATTATGAGATGGTAAATTAATGACTAAATAAATGAAATAAAGAACCCCGATCTGTAGAAACATAATAATAATCCTTGCATTTGATACAGCGCCTTTCACGTCAAGTGCATTGACTGTATTTTGTGGACGAATTGTAGCAGCCAATTGCACACAGTGTCCCACAAACAACTATGGAGTGAGCAACCAAATTGTTTGTTGGAGTAATTATTAACCTGGACAGTAAATTAAACTGGTATTTAATATTGATTGTCCTGGGGACATTGGTGCCACTTTGGCTGATGCAAGATAAGGAGTGACTGAATCTGCTGTTCATTAGACAGGTTCGGATTTGGGAGAAGAGAGAAAGAGACTGAATGTCAGTCAAACGGGTCGTGTATTTACTGATCTAAATTGACTGCGAGTCTTGACCTAATTAAGGGATAAGGAGCAGTAAAGGGTGATTAATTGATGCCCAAATGTGGGATTTTCAATCTATTTTGGGATTAAGCATTATCCTGATATCCCCTCCTCCCAGACTGACGGTTTAGAGTGATTAGGAGGTGGATGTGTGAGTCTGTGTGTGTATGTGTCTGTACGTCTGAATGTGAAAGGCGCTATACAAATGTAATTTTGTTGTTGTTGTTAAATGTGTGTGTGTGTATATGCACATCTATGTGTGAGTGTCCGTGCGTGTGTGACTGTATATGAATGTGTGTTTGTGTATGCATTGTGTGTGCATTGCAAATCTTCACAAAAGCTATGAAGTGAGTGACTGATTTTATCCAGGACTTCGGTTTCTGGGTTAGCCTCACATGTGAGCACAGTTGAATGTAGTGACTGTATTTGGAGACAGACAAGCGAGGCCCTACCAGTACTCATAATTCTTGCATTTGATATAGTGCCTGATCATGTCATTGAGATGTCTCAAAGGGTTTCACAGGATATATTGTAAAGTGAATTGACTGTATATTTTGTGGGAGAAATGCGGCAGCCAATTGCGCGCAGCAGCGTCCCACAAACAGTCGTGGATTGAGTGACCAATATTTTTGTGGAGGGATTATTACCCCTGGAAAGTGATCCAACAATCGATGAACAACTAGGTTCCGACTTACTGCTAGTTAAACAGAGGCGTGTGGAGTAGGAAAAGGTGCCTAAGGTTTCGCCCTGCCCGGGACTCCAACCTGGGTCCTCTCGCTTGCGAGGCGAGCTCTCTAACCAATACGGCGCAGGAATTCTTTTTGGAAGCAGACGGAGTGAGGCTTCCCAAACAGCCAGAAAGTGGATTTATTTTGAGATTCTGGGATTTCCAGCTGTGGAGTTGATGGAAACGGGATGTGAAGGGTGGCATGCCGGCAACAATTTTTGCTGCTCTATTTCCACACGTCCCAGAGACAGGTGCCTCTCTGTCTGAACCAGCCCCAACCCCACCCCCACCTCAGCCCCAAACCCCTGCCTCCAACCCCCAGCACCAGCCCCAGCCTCCTAACCCCAGCCCAACCACAGCTCAAACACATCGATTTCCAACAGTAACAATCACCAGCTCTTCAATAATTATGTCGGGCAAAACTTGCATCTTTTGCAAGTTGGAGAGAATTGCTGTTGTTGCCCCCGGTTTATTGCAGTTAATTACAGCCCAGAGACTGAGCACAGACTCCGTGCCTTGTTGACCAGCCAGGTGTAATGAGTGGATATGACGTGTGGGGTGGGGGGAGAGAGAGAGAGAGGCTGTGACTGAACGGAGGAATCTCTCAGTGTCGTGTCTGTGAGCCTGGCTAAGAGCACGATCCCATTAGCTCCCACTCCGACTAACGCTCGGTGACGGTTGCCGCACGGACACTGCGGGTAGTTGTCCTCCTGTTATGGGCGAGAGTCTGGAATTCCTGGCCGCAGAGCTGTGGAGCAGTGCCGGGAACGAGTGCATTGGAAATGTTGGGGAGAACAGCGAGGAGCTCATGGGTCGGGACATCGAGGAAGGTAACGGCTGGGGTTTGGCACGGAGGCTCTCATTGCTGCCCTCACTGGCGTATCTCTGGGCTGCGGACATCGTTTTGCTACCTGTTACACTTACACAGCAGGAGGTCATCCTGAAACCCTCCCAACACTCCGGGCTGGGCTGCCGAGCGGGGTGGGTGTGTGGGAGAGTGGAGCAGAGGTGGGGAGCTGAAGATAGTGGGGGAGGGGAGAAATGACCGAAAGCCATTGTCAAAGAGATGCGTCTCACGCCAGATTTGGGGCATGTAGAGGGAAGGAGGGAGGGAGGGAGGGAGGGAAGGAAGGAGGGGGTTAATGTTGAGCAATTCATCGCCAAGTGAGATCTCTGGCTGTTTTTTGGATTGTGAGCCAAGATGCGGGGTTTGGCTGCGAGGAACCCAGGGGTAACAGTTTACTGCAAAAACAGTCACTACACCTGACTGCAATCACCTGGGAAGCACCTTGCAAAGTTTCAACAGGAGAGGGTTCAGTTATAGTCAGTTTCGCCCACAAAATACACAGTCATTTCATGTTACAGTATATCCTGTGAAGCGCTTTGAGACGTCTCGAAGACGTGCTGAGGCGCTGTATCAAATGTAAGGATTATTATTATATTCCCAGTGAAGCTCTGAGCCACCTGAGACCCTCGTGTAAGAATCAGCTCGATGCTGTGATGACGGGACAGAGAGGGGGTGACACTTTGATGGCAGCAAATGGGTGTATTTTATCCAGTCCAGGAATGGGGTGAGGAGGCGCGGGAAAGGGGGCACGAGCGAGTGCGAGGTGCTCTCTCTTTCCCCCTCTCTCCTCCCCACTCAACAACAACAAATTACATTTGTATCGCTCCTTGCACGTCGTGAGGACGTCCCAAGACAGTCTCTCTCTCTCTTCCCCACTCTCCTCTCTCCCTCTCTCCCTTCCCTTATTCTCCTTTTCTCTCTCTCCCTCATTTCCTTCTTTCTTTCTCCCCCCCTCTCTCTCCGCCACTCTCCCTCTCCTCTCTCTCTCTCCTCTCTCTATGTAACCCAGACTCTGATCCTCTGTATTTTTCCTGCCCCATTAATACCCCTCTTGCTGCCCTGCCCAGCAGAGTTTGTGGATGGTGGGGTGAGACTGGGGTCCGCTCCCTGTGCTCAGGTCTGCGACAGAACTTGGTAGACAATGGGGAGGGAGGTTTCAGACGAATTGGGGTTTGCTTGCAGTCACTGAGCCTAAATGGGTTAAATGAGAAATAGTGCAATAATTGAATTAATAAATAATCAGAACCAACATTCCTGGACGGCATAAAATTTGCTGGGGCAGAGGAAGGAACAGAGAGGTGGGAGAGGGGAGGCAGAGAGTGGAAAGGGGCGAAGGGGGAGAGGCGGAAATAGGGAAGAGGGAGAGGGGGGGAGGAAGATGAAAGCTTACTTTGAACCGAGCTGTCAATTCTCATCACATAAATCACTGGCAGACAGACAGATTGAACATAAATCCCAATTAAGGAAGGGGAAGTGAGAGAGGCCAGGGCTGGGCTGGGCTGGCACAGTGGGGCAGGGCCTCAGCTCAGCTCAGGCTGGGGTCACACAGCGGGAACCAGGCTGCCTGAGCGTGAGATGTGCCTGTTCTCACGTAGACACAGGCATCGAGATAGGCTGAGGGAATGCGTCTGAGCTTCCAATACCCCCCTGAGACACCACTCCCTATTGAGCTATCACGTGTACCTCCCAAAGGATAGCTCGGGGGTGGGGGGTGGGGATGAGGGGGAATTGTACAGAACAGATAGAGAATCCCTCCAAATGGGAATGCAGATTATTTTCTTGGAAACTTGCAGGCAGGTACATTGGCAACACAGCCCAACGCAACACAGCCCGCTGGGCCAGACTCACTCTGAGCTCAAATAAACCTCTCAATAAACATCCCCAAAATACAGCGCTAAACATCCAATGGAAGCTATCCGCTGCCTTTGGCTGTATATCGCTCAGCAATCCCCCAGATCAATTGGTCGTTCACTTTATGGTTCCTTGTGGGGTGTAAATTGTCTGTCTGTCACATTCGCCTTCAAAATACACTTTACGGTAAACCTTATGAAGCGCTTTGAGACGTCATAATAAGGCACTGTGTCAAATGCAAGGATTATTATTACTTATTGTTACTAGGTGAGTGCAAATCAGCTGCTGTGTCGGCTACAGAAACACATTTGTGTCCTTGAGATGTGTCATTGTGCTTTGAGATGTTTTGAGGTGAATTGGCGCAGAATTCATTATTAAACACCTGGATTGAAACACAGAAACAGGAGACGGGAAACAGGCTGAATTCAGACCCTCGAGCCTGCTCTGCCAGTCTACAAGATCATGGCTATGATCTTTCATGATCATTATGATCATTGGCTCGTGATTGGAACTGTGACTCGCTTCCGAATGTCCAATATTCCGGGAGAGTGGGCCAGCCCTTTGAGCTGAACCTTGCCAGGAAAGGACAGGGTTGACAGGTTACCAGAGCGGATTGTCACAGCTGTCAAAGCTTTTTAATAAGCGGCTAATCCTGGCGCTCACTTGAGTGTGGCCAGGAGGTCACAGGCCACGCTCACATAGAACAAGACCAAGAACAAGACAACAGCATCTTAAAATTAAAGCTATTAAAGGCCACTCAGGAGCGAAATCAAGAGGCAATTTTTCACTCGAAGGGGAATGGAAATCTGAAACTCCACCAAATGCTGTGAATGTTGGATCCATTCACCTTTTCAAGACTGAGTTGGATAGATGTTTGTTAGGTCAGGGTATCAAGGGATACGGGGCAAGGGCGTGTAATTGGAGACGAGTATAGATCAGCCATCATGTAATAGAATGGCAGAACAGGCTTGAGGAGCTGAATGGCCTACTTCTATTCCCATGATCTTGATGGTTCTTGTTCTCTTCTCCCTACAGTGCTGTGTGCAGACCGGGTGGGTCAGGTGACCAAGACCTACCATGACATTGAGGCAGTAACGCACCTACTGGAAGAGGTGAGAGTCACTCCCTTCACCCCCCTAACCCCTCTCCCCCAGCTCATTCTTATCATAGAATCATAGAATTGCACAGCCTCCTCTCTCTTCTATCATCCCTTCATCCCCTCCCCGTCCCATTAAACGCTCTCTCTCCCCAACCCGCTAGCGAGGGGTAGGGGGGTGGGGGTGGAGCAATGCCCAGGTTGACTTTGGAACCTCTGTTGGTTTCATCTGTCTCTGCTGCTGCCCGCCAGTCTGCCTGAGATTTGGGGTTTGTTCTCCCCCACCCCTCCTCTGCCAGCCAACACAACAACAACAACTTTCACGCCCTTCATGCAGGGTAGAGTTTCATAGCACCAGAGGCTCTCAATATGCATTGGGATATTTCAGAGCGATGTGGCTGAATATTGGGATGTTACGGGACTCGATGAAATGGCAAGAATATGCAGATCAGCCTTGATCTAACAACATGGTGGAATAAGCTGGATGGGGTGAATCATCCTCTGCTGCTCCTACCTCATGCCCTGCTTGCTGGCTGGCTGACTGGCTGACTAGTGTGTGGAGGAGCTGCACTAGACTGGTTGGGAGGCAGTCTGGCCCCCAGGGAGTTTCCCCCCTACGAGTGAGAAGGGATGGGGGTCCAGAGTGGATCAGCCCATCTGGGAATGCCGCTTGCGCGAGGCGACGGGCTATGATTGGTCACAGTGACTGTCATTACAGAAAGAGCGAGACCTGGAGCTCGCTGCTCGCATCGGCCAATCACTGCTCAAACAGAACCACAGCCTCACCCAGCGCAACGAGGTCCTGGAGGAGCAGCTACAGCAAACCCTGGAAGAGGTGAGGCCCCGAGGGCGAAGGTGAGGGAGGAGGGGGGACATCTGATTCTTGGTCATTTGGGTTCAGTAAGAATGGAATGGTATTGAAGTGGGGCTCTGTGGGGAGGTGGGTGGGGCTGTGTGAGGAGGCGGGGCTAGGTGGCAAGGTGGGTGGAGCTATGTGAGGAGGCGGGGCTCTGTGAGGAGGTGGGTGGGGCTCTGTGAGGAGGTGGGTGGGGCTCTGTGAGGAGGCTGAGCTCTGTGGGGAGGTGGGGCTCTGTGAGGAGGTGGGGCTCTGTGGGGAGGCGGGGCTCTGTGGGGAGGCGGGGCTCTGTGGGGAGGCGGGGCTCTGTGGGGAGGCGGGGCTCTGAGAAGGCGGGGCTGTGTGGAGAGGCGTGGCCTGACCTCTGCCCTCTTCCACGTGGATTGGCTCAGATTTCGCAGCTGAAACACGAGCTGTTGATGAGGGATGATCTCCTGCAGCTGTACACGGACACCACGGAGGACAGCGACCCCAACCCTACCCACTCCACCGCGTGAGTGACCCTACGCTCATCTGCAATTACACAGTCACTGCACTTTACTGTAAATCCTGTGAGATACTTTGAGAGTCTGAAATGAAAGACGTTCCATCAAACACGAGCAGTTTGGCCGGAGGAGACAAGAAAGTAAAGGGGGTGTTGTGGACTGGGAGGAATGCGGCTGGAAATTTACTCCGGGGTGTGGGTTAGTGCCTCTGCCATTCTTCCTCTTTGTAAATGATACGAACTCAGACTCGGAGATGTCAGCGTTTACTGCTGATAACACATCGAATTGACTGTATATTTTGTGGAGCCAAACACGGCAGCCAATTGCGCACAGCAGTACCCACAAACAGTCGTGCATAGAAGTGACCAATTCATTAATATTATTTCTTTTGAAACAATTATTACCCCTGGAAAAGCGATCCGCCATTCGACTAACAACCGGGTTCCCACTGACTGCTATTAAACAGAGGTGTGTGGAATTAGGAAACTTACCCAAGGTTTCGCCTTGACCCGGGAATCAAACCCAGTCTCGCTTGCCAGGCGAGCTCTATAACCACTGAGCTACAGGGACTCCACTGGCAAATGGGAATCAACGTAGAAGATGATCTGACCCTGAGCCTCTCTCTTGCCCCAGGCTCCCATGGAATGCATCGGCTTCATCACTGCACAGCTTTGTGCAGCTGGATTTTCTACAACAGAAACTGCAGGGACTGGAGGAGGAGAACAGCAGACTGCGACATCAGGTACCAGTGGGTCCCACACACCCCGACACTCACACACCCCACACCCACACATACCCCAACACACATCAACACACACACTCACACACTCCAACACACACACCAACGCTCACACACACCCCAACATACACACACACTCACACACACACACCAACCCACACACACACCCCAACACACACACACACACACACACACCAACACACACCACAACTCACACACACCCCAGCCCACCACCAACGCACCCCAAACACCTAGCATGTTAAGCCGTGTGCTGTGTTTCTGGGATAGGCCACACAGCTGACCACGGAGACGTTGGATTATGAGGAGCAGGAAGAGCTACTGGTCATGGACTGCGTGACGGAGTTGGGTGAGTGTGACACGGCACAACATGTCAGTGGCATGTCAGCGACACGTCAGCAACACACAACCACACCCGATCATCACAGCCTGAAACCAGCTGAAAATCACCGGAAAATAAAGTGTTAATGATCAGGATGCCCTGACACATTAACTCTTTAATCCCACGCCTTACCCTTCCCTGGGTGTCCTCCGGGAACTCATGAAATGGCCGCTGTATTTACCTACAAAATAACAGACACTACACCTGACAGTAATTACTATAAAGAGCTGTGAGAAATTTCAACGTGAAAAACTTACATAAAAGTCAAAGGTTGCAGTTCTCGGAGGTACCGACCTTCGGCGGAGACGTTAAACCGAGGTTGTGTTTGTGCCCTGTTTAGGTGAGCATTAAGAGTCCCTCTGCACTGCTTGAAAGGAGAAGAGAGTTCTCACTCCTGGTGTCCTGGCCAACAATTCTCCAGATAAAATGGATCACTCACTCCAAGGCTGTTTGTGGGACAATTCTGTGTGCAAATTGGCCACCGTGTTCTCTGTCAATATACAGTTGCTGTACATTCTTAGAGATCTTAGAGGTGTTTTGCGTTAAATAATAATAATAATAATCCTTGCATTTGATATAGCTCCTTATCACATATTCAAGATGTGTCAAAGCGGTTCACACAATCCACTGTAAAGTGAATTGACTGCATAATCTGTGGGCGAAACATAGCAGTCAATTGTGCACAGCAGTGTCTCACAAACAGTCATGAATTGAGTGACCAAATTATTATTATTATTGAACTTGAAGGGATCATTACCCCTGGAAAGTGATCCGCTAATCGATTAACAACCGGGTTCCTACTTACTTCTAATCTCACCTGAAGACCTAACTCTTTGACCGTGCCTATAGTTACCTCCCCCCTCTCCCATCCCCTCTCTGTGTCCAACCCCAGCACCATGCAGCGCTCTGAGACGCTAACCTGCGTGACGGGCGCAGGTTGTTGCTGATGTTGTGGTTTGAGTTGTTTCCGTCTCTCTGCCCGCCCAGGACTCTCCAACAACCAGCTGGCGATGGTGTCTGAGGAGCTGGCGCGCAAGGTGGAGGATTGTACCCGTCAGCAGGAGGAGATCAGCCGGCTGCTCGCACACATAGTCAACCTGAAGCAGAAGTGTAAAGCCGTAAGGCACTGCCAGACTCCTCCCATGGGGGTGGTGGGGGGGGCGCGGGGTGTTGGGCTACCTGGCGGCGGGGAGTGGGGGGTACGAGGGTAGTGAGGTACCTGGGGCAGGGGGAGTGGGGGGCAGGAGGGTGGTGGGGTACCTGATGGGGGAGGGGGTTGCAGGAGGGTGGTGGGGTACCTGATGGATGAGGGGGGGGCAGGAGGGTGGTGGGGTACCTGGTGGGGAGGGTGGGGCAGGAGGGTGGGTGGTGGGGTACCTTGTGGGGGGAGAGGGTTGTAGCCTCCGTATCAAACGTGCTTCTCTACCATCAGTGCACGACGGAGAACGAGGAGCTGAGTCAGCACATGGCGTCACTCCGGGGGTCCAGAGAACAACTCAAATCTGAGGTGGGTCAGTTCTGAGCGAATGTGTCACGTGGGAGCAGTGTGGGGGGCAGTGTGGAGGTGGGGGTCAGTGTGGGGGTCAGTGTGGGGGTGGGGGGGCAGTGTGGGTGTCAGTGTGGGGTTGGGGGGGCAGTGTGGAGGTGGGGAGATTAGTGTGGGGTCAGTGTGGGGGAGTCAGTGGGGATGGGGCTTAGTGGGGGGGGGGTCAGTGTGGGGGTGGGGGTCAGTGTGGGGGGTCAGTGTGGGGGTGGGGGCTGAGATTGAGGGAGGGGAAGCTGTGAGCTGTGTTGTGATAGTGAGTCATATGTCTGTACAGCTTTGGGAGCTGAAGGAGCGCTATGCTGAGTGCAAGGGATTTCTACAGGAGGCTCAGGAGGAGATCAAGAACCTGCGGAACAAGTGTATGCCCAACAGCTCCATCAACCGCTACCACACCGTGCCTGTCTTCCCCATGGTGAGGACCTCAGCCCACACCAAACACTGTACCCCCATCACCCCAGTCCTCACCAGGCTCCACTGGCTCTCAATTACTGAATGGATCCTCTCACTTGTTTTCAAATCCCTTCATGCCCTGGCACCTCCCTACCTCTCCGACCTGCTTACCCCCAACTCCACCACCTCTGCTCAGTTGGCTCCGGCCTCCTGTTCGTCCCTTGTCCCCTCCACTCCACCATTGGTGGTCGTGCTTTCAGCCACTATTCCCCGAAACTCTGGAACTCTCTCCCTCAATCCCTCTGGGTTTTCCACTCCCTCCCCACCATCCCGTCTAAAGACCTTCCTTTTTGATAAGGTTAACAATCACCTTTCCCCTCCCTCTCCCCTTGGCTCCTTGTCAGAGTTCCCCACTGTCAAGTGCTCAGGATGCTACCCTTCATGAAGGGTGCTATATAAATGCAAGTTGTTGATGTTGTTGGCTCACCTCACCACACACACCACCAGTTAGCATCCACAACAATAGCTTTTATAGGAAGGTCTTCAGTCGTGATCCAAAAGAAGGGAAGGAGTGGGCAAAGCAGAGGGATTGACCACAACACATCGCAACACACAGACCAATGGCACAAACCATGACACACAGCACGTGCACCAATTACATTAACCCAGAGTAAACCAACACACAAACCTACACCTTTCTACCGCTTGTATTTCAATCAAGCTTGTCTGTCTGTCTGTCTGTCTGTTTGAGCTCCATCTCTCACTGATTTGAAAGCCGTTCTCTTTCAGGATTCGATCGCAGCTGAGATTGAGGGAACAATGAGAAAAGGTCTACATGGGGACAGTGCTGCCCTGCTGGAGAACGTGTGAGTAATAATAATAATAATAATCCTTCACGATTACCCTGTGTGAAGGGGAAAAATAAATGTGAACTATAGTAATATGATATCACGTGACTGAGATATCTCAAAGCACTTCGCAGATTACACTGTAAAGTGTAATGACTATATTTTGTGGGCGAAACACGGCAGCCAATTCCGCACAGCAGCGTCCCACAAACAGTCGTGGATTTGAGTGACCAATTTATTATTTTTGAAGGGATAATTACTCCCAGAGAGCAATTTGCCAATCAACTAACAACTGGGTTCCTACTTACTGCTGGGTAAACCGAAGTGTGTGGAGTAAGGAAACTTGTCATAAGAAGTACAAAAGAATATAAGTACTTTGCCTCTGTCTTCACAAAAGAAGAGGATGCAGTTAATGCCACTGTATTGGCGGAGAGGGTAGAGAAATTGTGTAAGATAAGAATAAACCTAGAGGAGGGACTAAAAAGGTTGTCGGTGCTCAAGGTAGTTAAGTCACCCGGTCCAGACAGGATTTATTCTAGGTTACTGAGGGAAGTAAGGGTGGAAATAACGGAGGCTCTGGCCACAATCTTTCAATCCTCCTTGGATACCGGAGTGGTGCCAGAGGACTGGAGCATTGCAAATGTTATTCCCTTGTACAAAAAGGGGCAGAAGGATAAACCCGGGAACTACAGGCCAGTCAGCCAAAATCAGTAGTGGGGAAACTTCTGGATACTATAATCCGGGACAAAATTAACTTTCACTCAGAAAAATATGGGATAACAAAGGACAACCCACACGGATTTGGTAAAGGCAAATCATGTCTAACAAACCTGATAGTTTTTTGCTGAAGTAACGGAGAGGATGGATGAAGAAAGTGCAGTTGATGTAGTTTATATGGATTTTCAAAAGGCATTTGTAAAGTGCCACATAAGAGACTTGTAGGCAAAATCGAAGCCCCCGGTATTAAAGGGACAGCGACAGCGGATACAGAACTGTCTGGGAGACAGAAAGCAGAGAGTGGTGGTGAACGGTTGTTTTTCTGACTGGAGGGAAGTGCAGTGGTGTCCCCCTGGGGGTCAGTATTGGGACCATTGCTGTTTCTGATCTATATAAATGACCTGGATTTGGGTGTACCCTTTCCTCTCACAGTAACTGCAGCCGCCGGGTGTTTGAGACGGTCCGAGCCGCTAACCAGGCGGGGAAATCCCGCTCCCAGTTGCCTCAGAATATTCCAGGCTCCAGCCACTCATCAGCCGCTCCCTCGCGGGTCTCCAGCCGCATCACCACCCCCAGGACCAGCTTCTACGGTTCGGAATCATCCATTGAGGTTGCGGAGGATAAAACCCCGTCGCTCAACGATGAGTAAGCGATGGGGGGATGGGGGGGTGGGGGCAGTGTGAGAGCAACTAAGCAACTATACTGTGAGTGCGAGTGATAATGAGTCAAACCCCAGGTGGACCCTGTCCTGCGGGAGCCATTCATCAACAAGTTGTTATTGATGAATGAGCGACAGCGAGTGTGAGTGACGGATTGTGAGTGTGTGAATGTGTGTGTGTGTGTGTGCACATATGTATGTGAGTTACTCCAGCAGTTGCCCAACTCACACTCTGGGGTCCCCAAGTCTTGACTCCTGCCAACCTGCGCCTAATACTTTCCGGAATTAGATAAGCAGGAAGCGTCCCTCCAGGGAGAGAGAGAGAGAGAGATAGAGTTCGCATTTCATTCCATTCCAACACTCTGTCTCTGGGATTTCCAGGTGTAGGTGGGAAGCGGGGAATTCTCAGCTTGGTTCGGAGACTTAAGCACGGGGATGGGTTTCTGCGTGTGTCAGACACCCGGCGACCAAAAACAAGTGTGAGTGTATAAATATGTAGATATGTTTTGTGTTTTTTTTATCAGGTGAATGCCTGGTGCAAGACTTCATAGGAATTACTATAAAGTGTAGTGACTGTGTATCTTGTAGGCGAACGTGGCAGCCAATTTGCGCACTGCAATGTCCACAAACAGGAATGAGGTGAATGACCAATTTTATTTGGGGGATTGTTGGCCAGGAAACCGGGAGAGAGAAACAGTGCCATAACGTCCATCTGAACAGGCGGACGGGACCTCGGTTTAATGTCTCATCTGAAGTATGACACCTCCAAGAATGTCTGTGTGTGTGTGTGTGTGTGTGTTTATGTGTGTGTGTGTGTTTGTGTTTGTGGCTGTGTGTCTGTGTGTTTGTGTCTGTGTGTGTGTGTTTGTGTGTGACTGCGTGTGTGTCTGTGTGTGTTTCTGAACCTTATCAATCTCCTGTTTGCAGGAACAAGGATGCGGAGAGGAAGCTTGGAACGCCAGGAACACCAGGCTGCCGGGACCTGGAGGTGGCCCTGCAACGCCTCTCCCTGAGCCGGGAATCTTCGTGCTATGAGAGTGAACGAGAGCACAAGCTGACGATCCTGGCCAGTGACGGACCGGCCTCCCCCGCAGACAGCTTCCTGTCCATAGGAACCAATTACTCTGGAAGCTCCGGCTTCTCCCTCAGCTCTCGCTCCCTCCTCCCCGAAAAGCTAAAGATCGTCAAACCACTGGAAGGTAACAAGCTCCCAGAGTGGCCATCACATCATAACGTGTGTGTGTGTGTGTCTGTCTGTTTCTGTGTGTGTGTTGTCTGTTTCTGTGTGTGTGTGTGTCTGTTTCCGTGTGTGTGTGTGTGTCTGTGTGTGTATGTGTGTGTCTGTTTCCGTGAGTATGTGTTTGTCTGTGTGTGTGTGTGTGTGTCTGTTTCTGTGTGTGTGTCTTTCAGTCTCTCTCTATCGCTCTCTCGCGCTCTCTGTGTTTCACTCTCTCAGTCTCTGTCTCTCAGTCTCTCAGTCTTTCTTTCTCTCTCTGACTCTCTCAATCTCTCTCTTTCTATAGCTCTTAGTCTCTGTCCCACTCTCTCTCTCCAGGTTCGGTGACCCTTCACCATTGGCAGCAGTTAGCTCAGCCCCACTTTGGGGGGCTGCTGGAGTCCAGACCGGGGGTTCTAACCAAAGATTTCCAGCTGCTGGAGCTGGACATGGAGCAGGTTTACAATCTGGCTGATCTGGAGGAGGATGAAGCTGACATGGCCTTGTACCAGAAGCTGTTATCACTACCCACAGACCCCAGCCCCAACTCCCAAGGTAGGTTCCAAATAACCCCACCTCATTGATACACCCTGCACCCCCCAACACCCTCTTTGTAACATTGAGCTAAAAAAGGCTCCGGTTGATGTGTACGTATGTGACTCTCTTTCTCAAGTCTCTTTTCATGTTTCTCTCCTGTCTCTCTTTCTCTCCTCTCTCTCCGTCACTCAGTCTCTCTCTCGACATTGGGGTGATGTGTGTTGATGAGGCTGAACCCGACGTGTCAGACACCCCAAGCATCTTCCTGCTCTGCTCTCTTCAAAAATCCCAATGATATTTGCCGAGTCTCTCTCGCCTCAGGCCCTCAGCCTCTGTACTGCTCAGCAGCATTACAGTGAGGTTACAATAGGCATGTTGGCTGGCTGGCTGGCTGGCTGGGTGGCTGGCTGGCTGGCTGGCTGGCTGGCTGGCTGTGGCTGTGGCTGGCTGGCTGTCTGTGGTGGTGGCTGTCTGGTCTGGTGTGTGTCTGTGTGTGTGTTTGTGAGCGTGTCTCTGTGTGTAGTGTGTCTGTGTGCGCGTGTCTGTGTGTCTGTCTGTGTGTCTCTGTGTGTAGTGTGTCTGTGTGTGTGTGTTTGTGAGCGTGTATGTGTGTCTCTGTGTGTAGTGTGTCTGTGTGTCTCTGTGTGTCTCTGTGTGTAGTGTGTCTGTGTGTGTGTGTTTGTGTGTCTGTCTGTGTGTCTCTGAGTGTAGTGTGTCTGTGTGTGTGTGTGTGTGTGTGTGTGTGCTTGTCAGCCTCCCCAACTCCTCGCTCCACAGGCTGCAGATCATCCAGAACTCTGCAGCCCTTGTCCTCTCCTTCACCAGGCTCCGTGACCCCATCACCCCCATCCTCGCCCGACTCCACTGGCTTCCCATCACACAGAGGATACAGTTCCACATCCTGGTCCTCACCTTCAAAGCCCTCCATGGCCTTGCCCCCGCCCTACCTCAGCGACATCCAAATTCCCAACCAACCTGCCGCTCGCTCTGCTCTGAGGGCTCTGGCCAGCTTCACGTCACCCACCTCGCCCTCCCCACCATTGGCAGGCGGGCCTTCTCCCTCTCTACCCCCACCGTCTGGACTCCATCCTGCAGTCCCTCCACCTCGCCCTCTCCCTTGCCTCCTTCAAAACCCATCTCAAGACCCTCCTCTTCGGTCACCCTCATACCCCTCCCATCCCCGTTCTCCACCCCTTTTGCTCCCAACCGCTCGGGTGCAGATCCCTGACTCTCCAGCGCCTTGAGGCCTCCTCCTGCCGTGAAAGGTGCCCTACAAAGGTCATTTGTTATCTGTGTGTGTGTCTGTGTGTGTGTGTCTGCGTGTGTCTGTGTCCGTTCGTGTGTGTGTGTGTGTTTGGGGTGATGGCTCGGAGTGGTGGAGTAACCCTGTTTTCCCCGTGTTACAGGGTACCAGTCTGGAAACCTCCTCCCTGCCACCCAGTACACCTGCACCATTACTACCTGCCGCATCCTGCATCCTTTGGACGAGATGTCAGTCGTCACGTCCAGGTGAGGGGGCGGGGGGGTGAACGAGGGAGGGTTCTGACCTGGGGCTCAGCTACAGCAGAGTAAACAAGAATACTTAGGCCAACAAACTACTAAAATATGATTGTTAAACCTCAAGAATACCGAGACCCTACCTCATGTGAAGGGTGCTATACACACACTGGCTCAGACACACACGCCGGCTCACACACACACACTGGCTCACACACACACTGGCTCACACACACACTGGCTCACACACACACACTGGCTCACACACACACACACACACTGGCTCACACACACACACTGGCTCACACACACACACACACACTGGCTCACACACACACACTCGCTCATACACAAACACACACTGACACCCTTGCCTTCACAGACTGACACCCTCGCACACTGGCTCCTGCACACACCCTCAGATGAGCCTGTTGTTCTCTAACCGACTGTCGTCTTTACTCCAAATACAGGCAGGGAAAGTCGTGGTACAAGCCTTTGCTGCCGACACGCAGGTTTTAAGGCTCTATTGCCGCTCACGTAAGAGCTAGTGAACGTTAGTGTCACATCCCTCTCACCTCCCGCAACACTCCCCCCATCTCCCACCCACACTCCCCCCGTCTCCCACCCACACGCCCCCTGTCTCCCACCCACACGTCCCCTGTCTCGCCTTGGGATGTCCTCCCGACGTGAAACGCGCTATACAAATGTAATTTTGTTGTTGTCTCCCCCCCCACACATACCCCCCCCCCATACTTCCCCCCCTCCGTCCCACATGTGCCCCCACACACTTCCCCGCCGTCCCCCCACTTTCCCCCCTTCACTCCACACTTCACCCCCTCCCCTGTACTCAGACACAGCACAGCCTGGATCAGTTAGTCAATTAACCCTTGAGCTCTAACCAGAATGTCTGCTCGCATTGCTCCCCCACCCCCCCGTCCCCCCTCTACTCACTAGCATTGGGGGCAGAGTAGTTCTATTGAGAGGAGAGCAAGTTCTGATTCTGTCACTGGGAGGCAGACTAGTGTTGTCCCATTTCAAAGCCCTGAGCTGTGGTGAAAGGCAGTGGCCAGCTTTCAGCAAAGTGTGGGTTCAGCCTTAGGGGCTGGAGGGGGGATCGGGGGAATGCAGAGTGGGAGTGGGTGGAGAGGCGGTGGGGGGGGGGGGGGGCGTTTGGAGGAGGAGGAAGGGAGAGGAGGAGGAGGTGCCCCAAAATTGATTCATCCCAAAATGTTCACAACACACTGCCCCAAATCCCTCAAAAGAGAATAGGTCTGCCACACACCACACAGTGTGTGAGCCAGTGTGTGTGTGTGTGTGTGTGAGCCTGTGTGTGTGTGTGAGCCTGTGTGTGTGTGAGCCAGTGTGTGTGTGAGCCAGTGTGTATAGGAGAGTAAGTCAGCCTGGTGTTGAGGGTTTCGGAACTTGAGCATTTAGCACAGATCTTTTTTTTGTGTGGGGGGTTTAGTCTGAACCTACAGCGAAGGGATGATCAGAGCAGAGTGTGTGCTGGCTGACAGCTCAGGAAGGTTTTGTCCTATGGGACCCATTGACGAGGATCCAGAAGTGATCCTAAATGAATGTCTAAAGGCAAATCTCCAAACTAAATGAGCAACAGCATTAAAACAGGCAAGAGTGTGGCTCTCGGGCAGAGCTGGCATTGGGCTCAGTTACCGTGCCCTCACACCTCTCACCAATTGACACTCACTCCGGGGTAACTGCAGCTCAGATGAAGCATGGACACTTGGACACTTGCAGAGCTTATAACAGGGTGGATTCTCTCTGTTGTGAGACATTTGAGAGGGAAGAATAAATGGTTTCGCTGGTTACTTTCAGTTCGTCAATGTTGTACCAAGTCCTTTTGCCTCAATTTATCTGAACTTAACCCCTCCCAGCACTGAGTCTCAGCCTCTGGACCGGTGACCTCTCCCAGGTCTGTCTGTTTGACCTCCGAGGCCCCACAAGATGCCTTTGACCATTGCTGCTCTTAGTGTTTAGAGGCTTTATCCTTGTGCACCGCTACCCCTGATGTGCTTGTTGGATTGAGATAGAGTAACTAGCAGATAGACTGATTAATGAACTATTATAACTTGTGTCACAACTCGTAGCTGTCTTGTGTGATTGAACCACTTTGTCTTGTGACCCTGAGATCACCTGCTTTCTCAATCATTCTGTTGAATCCACAGTTGAATACGGCGTTGTGTGTGAGACCATATTCTTCTTGGTTGGGGTTCTTTTTAACGGCCTCTTCCCTCAATGAGGCTCAGGCTGATATTTGATGTAAAGGTTCAGAAAGAAACCCAAAATGTAATTGATCAAAATGTGACTGAATATTTTGTGTAGCAGTTAGAACCAGCTCTTTTTTGCAAAAAAAATATATTTATGGTTTCTAACGCAGGATTCAGGTGAAATGTTCACTTCCTGTTAATATTCTCCTTCTGTATTATCAGGGCCACTTATTTAATCCCCTCCTGGTGATGTCATCGGTCTGGAAGCATGGCACAGTGAGGAGGAATCTGCTTCCTATGTACAGGGCTTCCTGAGACCAGATTCCACATGTAATCACGTGATTCCAAGTCCAGAATAGGAGCTCCTAGACGTGCAGTTTTGTTGTCCTACCAAATTAATTTTTATCCCCTTATTATGTTCTGCCATTAAATCACATGAGCTTTATGGTTGAGTTCAGTTGAGGCTGAGGTTGACTTGAGGTTGGGTTTAGTTGTTTTGGGTTGAGTTGAGACTGGGTCAGGTTGAGGTTGGGTTGAGCTGAGGCTGAGATTGACTTGAGGTTGGGTTTAGTTGGTTTGGATTAAGATGAAGCTGGGTTAAGTCAGGTTGAGTTGAGGTGTCGGATTGAGTTGTGTGTTGAATTGAGGCATGTGGAGTTAGTTTGAAGCTAATTAGGGTTTGGTTATGATGAGTGAAGATTGGAGTTGGTTTAAGTTTGGATTTAGATTGATTACTTCTAGATAAAATTAAAGTCAGTAGGATTGGAGTAAGTCATGTACTGATGAGTTAGTCTTGTTTGAAGTAACATGAATTGGGTGTTCATAGGGGAGTGTGTTTGGATAAGATTATTTGGATGAAGTTGAGAGTTGATTTGAGGGACAGTGAGTTCAGTATGGTTAAAATGTTGACACATTAGCATTTTATTATGGCAGCCGAGGTCAAAAGTTTGACCTGAAAAATTTGATCTAAATCTGCAGTGAAAGCGAAATCCAAGGATGACTTTCATTGAACTGAAAGGAAGCAGAAGCCCTTTGTTGTGACATGTTGGGAGCTTTGACATTGTAGCTGTAGATATGTTCTTGAAAGTTGTTCGACTTCTCTTGTTTCCAGGACCATTTTTGATTTTGCTGCTTAATGTATTGATGTATTTTCCCCCCATTATATCTTGCAGTCCCAATTACACATCCATCCCATCCTGTGGGAATTTAGATACACTGAAACCTACCACAGTGAGGCCTGCTCCATCCTATGGGAATCTTACCACAATGAGATCTACTCCATCCTATGGGAACCTTACCACAATGAGATCTACTCCATCCTGTGGGAGTTTCGACACATTGAGACCTATTCCATCCTATGGGAATCTCACCACAATGAGATCTACTCCATCCTGTGGGAGTTTCGACACACTGAGACCTATCCCATCCTATGGGAATCTTACCACAATGAGACCTACTCCATCCTATGGGAACCTTATCACAATGAGATCTACTCCATCCTGTGGGAGTTTCGACACACTGAGACCTATTCCATCCTATGGGAACTTTACCACAATGAGACCTACTCCATCCTGTGGGAGTTTTGACACACTGGGACCAGTCCCATCCTATGGGAATCTCACCACAATGAGATCTACTCCATCCTGTGGGAGTTTCGACACACTGAGACCTATCCCATCCTATGGGAATCTTACCACAATGAGACCTACTCCATCCTATGGGAACCTTACCACAATGAGATCTACTCCATCCTGTGGGAGTTTCGACACACTGAGACCTATTCCATCCTATGGGAACTTTACCACAATGAGACCTACTCCATCCTGTGGGAGTTTTGACACACTGGGACCAGTCCCATCCTATGGGAAGTCTGACACACTGAGATCCACCCTCTCCTGTGGGAACCTCACCACACTAAGACCTATCCCATCCTGTGGGAATTTTGACACAGTGAGGCCAATCCCATCCTGTGGTTTTGACACCCTGAGATCTAAATCAGCCTATGGAAAAGTTGACAAGCTGAGGTCTACAACATCTTGTGGCAACTTTAACGCTCTGCGGCCTACATCATCTTATGGTAACTTTGAGCCTCTGAGATTTGCCCACCGAACACCCCGTCAAAAGCGTTATCCGTCTGAGTCGTCCACAAATTCACGGGAACATACGACCACAATGAGCACATCTCTGGGATTGGTAACCTTGTTAAAGGAGCATGGGATATCTGCCGCTGTGTACAACCCAGCAAGCTGGGACACAGGAAAGAGTGTGGGTCAGAATGATATTATTATTCACTACCAACCTGGGGATAGTCTGTCCTCTTTCCCACAGCCAGGGGCACAGGTGATCCATTCTTCTGCCTCCCCCTTTGGACTGCAATTGATCAGCCTGACTGACAGACCTTTCCTGACTTCCAGTATGGCCAGGTCCATGATGAAGGAGGTCAGTGGGGTAGAGGAACAGGCGAGTTTGAATAAGAGCAAGGCTGAGAAGAATATCTTCAGCTTCAACTTGGTGGAAAAGCTAAAGAGACTTGGTTTAGACAAAGTGGTGGAACGAGGAGTGGTTCCTTCAGAGAACAAAGCAGTGAAGAGACTGAACAGCACAAGCAGCAGAGAGACAGTGGGACCAGTGGTGACATAGTTCTGTTCATTGAGCGGCAGGAAGAAAATAAATAGGAGCAAACGTGTGAACTGAACAGCCGGTTCGATTACCAAACCTTTCCCATCCACTTACATCACATTTCAGAAAGGAAGGGAATTGTGTGTTTGTCAGAGGTCCTGCTGGGCAGGCCGACCTGGGTCCAGTTTACTCAGCATATTTTACTGTACGTGAATCAGATTCTAGTTGGTAATTTAATTCCTACAATTATAAAGGGTAATTTCAGGAAAGCCACCTGGAATCGACATTCACAAGGATTAATGCTTTGTGTGTAAGCATTTATAGCCATTCATTAAGTGGGTTCAAGGGCATGTTTACCATCAGGGTGCCTGTGCCTGTCTCATCCCTACGTAGTGAGTAACAGGGATATTACTTTATGTGACTTGCAATTTACCCATTATTATAGCGAATTATATTTTCAAGGATTGATTGAATCAGTTGTGACCAATATTTAAACTAGGGCTAGGGCTCTAATTAAGAGAAGACAACTCTGTAGATATTAAAATACAATTTTAAATGGGATTGAAAATGTGAACCCAGAAGAATACTTTGGGATGCACGAAAACAGTAGAACAAGAGGCCACCGGTTTAGAGTTGTAAAGGGCAATTTCAGGACAGCTACCAAGAAGTATTTATTTCCCCAAAGGAACATTAATGACTGGAACAGGTTGCTTGGAAGGGTAGTTGGGGCCAGAACATTGGAATGAATTAAAAAAACAGCTTGATGTTGTGATGGAGGTCAGTAGAGAGGGATGAAATCAGATGAGCAGAAGGGTTTTCTTCATCTGAACTAATCTTGTGATCCATAGTAGAGATGCGTTACATTGTGCTGTGGGAGGGAACGACATCCAAATTCAAGTTGTCTCAATCGCTGAATCTGATCAATTAAGAATCAACTCCAGAACTTACCTCTCTATGTCCCTGAGCTCATGGGGGGGGGAGGAGAGGTGGAGAGAGGGTGTCAAAAATAACAGCAACTCGCATTTATACAGTACCTCACTGTCCCATGGTCTCTGATTAGTACAGTGACAATGTCAGAATAGTATAATAAATCATGTGTTTGATATCCTTTACACGTCATCAAAACGTCTCAAATACCTCACAAAATTTACAGTAATGTGCAGCAACTGTGTACTTTGTATTTGAACGCAGCAGCCAATTTACACACAACAAAATCCCCAGACAGCCATGAAGTGAGTGACCAATTTTATCTGGGGGATTGGTAGAGAGAAATTCCTTTCTCATTTTGAATAGCGCCGCGGGATCTTTAACGTCCTCCTGACCAGGCAGACAGGACCTCGGTTTAACGTTGCATCCAAAGGATGGATTGTGGAAAGAGGCACAACATCAGGAAAAGAGTTTTAAGTAGAATTAAAGGGACCGTAAGGTATGGATCAGGCCTTTTGGCCCTACAACCACATGAAATTCCTCCCCCTCTGGTCCCTTCTCCCTCATGGCTTGATGTCAGGAAGAGCAAAACCTTTTTAGCAGCAGCAGGTTTCACAGTGAAGCGAGACTCTGCTATGTGTCAGTGCAGTCAGGCTCTGCACTGCCCCGTCTCCATCTCTCGCTCACTTTCTCGCTTTACAATCAGACATGGAAATTGCCACGTTTGACAAACGGATTCCAGGTGAGACAGCGACCCAGAGTTTCTCCCCCGTTCTTTATCTGCACTTGTAATGCAAAGTAACACAATGTAATTTAGTGTGAAATAGATGTGAAATATTGTTTGGGGATTGTAATTACACAAATTCCTCACTGCTTTGGGCTGTTTGAACATCACAGATACTAGACGCTCACCAGGGAGACTCAGTGTGTCGGCAGCAGAGTTGATCCTGTAAATGTTTGTAAAAAGAAATAAAGGAAATATAACTGTCCATTGACAAGGCAGATAATCAGGGCCATGAAGACTCTGATCATTTTATTTACTGTATTTTAACCCCCCACCAATCACACAAACAACCATACATAACCCCCCCACACACACACAACCATACAACCAACGTACGGTCGAAGAGGAGAGTCTTGAGCTGGGTCTTGAAGGAGGCAAGGGAGGGGGTGAGGTGGAGGACTGTGGGATGAAGTTCCAGAGGGTGGGGGCAGAGTGGCTGAAGGCCCGTCCACCAATGGTGGGGCGAGCGAGGTGGGGCACATGAAGCAGGCGAGAGCCCTCTGAGTGGAGGGAGCAGGCAGGATGGTAGGGAGTTAGGAGGTCACTGAGGTAGGGGGGAGCAAGACCATGGAGCGCTTTGAAAGTGAAGACTAGGATCTTGAATTGTCTCCTCTGTATGATGGGAAGCCAGTGGAGTGGGGCGAGGATGGGGATGATAGGGTCACGGAGCCTGGTGTAGGAGAGGACATGGGCTGCAGAGTTCTGGATGATCTGCAGCCAGTGGAGGGAGGAGTTAAAGAGGCCGATAAGCAGGGAGTTTGCATAGTCAAGTCTGGAAGTTATGAATGCATGTATGTGGGTTTCAGTGGCCTGCGGTGTGAAACAATGGCAGAGCCGAGCGATGTTGCATAGGTGGGGCAGGCAGAGCGGGTCATATCATGGATGTGGGGTAGAAAGGATAGTTGAGGGTCAAACAAAACGCTTAGTACGGTGGAGTTTGCAACCAAAGATGGCGATGTTGTTAGCGCCTGAGGTGTGGAGGCACTCACAGAAGCCAATCAGGAAAGCCTCAGTCGTGTTGACGTTCAACTGAAGAAAGTCAGCTCTCATCCAGGATTTGATGACATTCTGTCAGGACAGCAGTGGTTCTGGAGTCAGGAGGCAGAGAGGTAGAGTTGGGTATCACCCGCATACATGTGGATGTTGACCCCATGTCTGTGGATGATGTCACCAAGAGAGAGAGCATATAGATATTGAAGAGGAGGGGACCAAGGACGGAGCCCTGAGGAACGCCACACAAGACAGTGTGGGGGCTAGAGGACAAACCGTTTGTGACGATGAAGTGCAGGCGGTGTGAGAGGTACGATCTAAACCATTCAAGGACAGAACCGCAAAGGTTGAGGTGAGAGAGGCGTGGATGAGGATAGAGTGGTCAACAGTGTCGAAGGCAGCAGAGAGTTCAATGCGGACGAAAAGGCAAAGGGAGCCCTGGTCGCAGATGGACAGAATGTCATTTGTCACTTTGTCGAAAGCTGTTTCTGTGCTGTGAGCGGCACCTAAATCTGATTGGAGAGGTTCATGAAGGGAGTGACAGGAGAGGAAGGAGTGAAGCAACGACTTGGTCCAGGACCTTGTTTGCTCACAAATATACAGTCAATTCACTTTACAGTGTGTTCTGTGAAGCGCTTTGGGACGTCCTCCCGACGTGAAAAGTGCTATATCAAATGCAAGGATTATTATTATTGTTGGAAAGTTGGAGATGGGGCGGTAGTTTGAGAGCAGGAATAGGTCTGGGGAGGGACTTTTAAGGATGGGAATGATGCCAGTGATTTATGATGTGGGGCAGACGGTTCGAAGGTGTGGCAGGAAGGATGGGTAGGGCCAGGGTGTGAAGGGGAGATGGGGAGGGGGTAGTAAACGGATGGGCAGAGGCAGCTGAGCGGCTTTGGATTTGAGGAAGTCCAGTATCGTCTCACGGTTGGCATTGAAGGAGAGGATGGGCGAGGCATGAGAGAGTTGGCGGAGGAACCAGTTGGTGATGGAGAAGAGGAGCCTGAGGTTGGCCTTGACCTCCAAAATTGTCTTGGAGTAGAACGACGATTCAGTGGAGGCGAGGGCAGAACGGTAAGATTTGATAAGATCCAACCAGATCCGTTGATGGACCATTAAGTTCAATTTAAGTCAGGTGCATTCAGTGGCATGCATCTGTGCTTTAAGGGGAAGAAAGAGCATCCGCATTCCATCCCAGACAAGATTTCAATGTAAAGGTGGCATGCATTATTGCAACTTATTCAGCTGATTGGGGTGGGGGGGTGTAAAGCGAACAAGAAAGACATTAACTGATCTTCTTGACTGCAATAGCGTAATTAGAATATCTTCATCAGCCTAAAATGCCCAGTGTAGTTTATATATAAATACAATTTGTTGCAACTGTTAATGCTGTGATAAGTGATAAATGCCACCCATCAAATATCAGAGATTCTAATTTTAGGGAAATCAAATCCTGGGATTTCTTGTATTTTTTTAAAATATAAAAACACAAACTGCAAAAAATTAAAAATCACCAAAAAAAGTTTATTTCAACACATCCGGCATCACACGCTTCTCAGATCCACACATATTCAACATGTATTTACAACACAATTTGAGTGGCGTTAGAGGAGAAACAAATACTGGACAATGACCAGAAGCTGTAACGCTGGCTGATTTCCCGCTCCCTAACCGAACAGCGGCTAGAAACATTCACATCCATTTGACCTGAAATAGCTTGAGAAAAGCTCCTCCCATAGAATCTAGTGGTTATATATAAAAAATATACTGTCCACAATAGCTTAATTAGCATCAACTTGGGCTTAACATCCGCATTAGAAAGGAACCAAGCCACTCACTCTAGCATCTCATGCTGATATTCCAATGGCACTGGGTAAAAGAAACAGTAACACAGGAAATTGGTCTTTATTGCACAAATCCTGGGCATGAATCAACCCAGGACAGACACTGCGTATCCTGCACGTACACTATTTGTAACTTCAGTTTGCACATCCTGCAATGACCATCTCCTCCCCACCCCTGGCCACTAGTTAATGAAATTCATAAGGCAAAAAAAAGAACCATAATAGAAACAGACTCCCCGTCCCGAAAGCTGTAACTTTACAATAATTGGATTAGTTTAAACAATTAGTTTCTGTCTCAGAAACGGGACAGAAATCAGACAGCCCAGCACTTCTCCATCCTGTAAAAGCTAAAAATAAAGGCTTTAAAAGAGCAAGTTGTTTCAAACTCGTTCTAAATTACATCAAATTCAGTCTAAATAACATCTGCACTCGCTCTAAATCCACCACTTAGGTGGGTTTTGATGCAGAAAGAGAAAAGCCTCAAGCTATTCCCCACCACCACTGTAACATGCTTAGAAATTATTTGGTTTTGCCGTCTATACTCTTTCTCCAAGGCTGGGATTGGAGCCAGTGAGCAGAATGGCTCAGCATGGAGCTGACCTTTACCCATTAAGCCTCGGGAGACACAGGGAGACAGACAGCATAAACCTGTGGAACTCTAGTCTGGTTTCGATACTCTTAATTCTCAACTCTTAAATGGATTTGTGTGTGTCAGACCATCAACTGACCTTAAAAAATGGATGGGTGGGTGGGGAGGGGGGTGGTGTGCAAGTCAGTCAGTTAATAATCTTTGATTTGATTCAACGTCTTATCACAGCAGGTGGCTGTCTCCAAGTGCTTTGCGAGATTTTACTGTGTAGTGACCGTGTATTTGTCGGTGAACGCAGCAGCCAATTTGTACAGCAACGTCCCACAAACAGCCAAGACACATTTTATTTTGGGGGATTGTTGGCCTGGACACTGGGATGAAGAACTCAATTCTCTTTTCGAAAAGCGCCATGGGATCTTGTACATCCACTTGAACGGGCACAGGCAGCAACTTGGCTTAACATTTCATCTGAAGGACAGCAACTCCAACTGAAGTGTCAACCTGGACTGAGAGTTCAAAGTCCCAATGTGGGGGCTTGAATCCACAACTGTCTGACTCAAAATGCCAGAGGACAACCCACTGAGCCACTTCTCATCTCGATCTAGTAATCCAGTTAAGTCTCTCAATGCAACTTTAGTGCTGAGTAAATCAAATTCCCCCTTTAATTAAGTGATTCCAGGAACAACTTTATGTCTAATTGTTAACTCGAGACCAACTTTGGTTCGGGTTAGATATTAAGTGTAGGTGTTGTACCAAATTTTCCTACTAGAGGGAATAGTTGCAACACAAATCAGAAAACCTTAGTTGTAATAATAATCCTTGCATTTGATGCTTGCAGCACCTCATCAAGTTACTGAGACATCTCAAAGTGCTTCACAAAATATACTGTAAAGTGAATTAACTGTATATTTTGTGGACGAAATGCAACAGCCAATTCCACACAGCAGTGTCAAACAAACAATTGTGGATTGAATGACCAAAATGTTTTTTTGGAAAGATCATCATCCGGAAAATGATCCGCCAATCGACAAACAATCGGGTTCCTACTTTCTGCGAAGTAAACAGGCATGTGGAGTAAGGAAACTCACCTAAGGTTTTGCCCCGCCCAGGAATCGAACCTAGGTCCTCTTGCTTGCGAGGCGAGCGCTCTACAGGACTCCAATATTCCTGTGGAGAAAATGTATTATTTTACAAGTTTAGTTCCTTGTCCAGTGCTGCCTCCTTGGAGTGAGGAGTCGGGTGGCATCTCCTGGCTCTGGGGAAATAAAATGGAGATGGCTTGCTGGATGGTTCTTGGTTTCAAAGTCAGACTCAAATGGCCAGGGCAGAAACGTCAGCCAGTAAATGCAAAACATAACTAAGGATTATGTACACATGGGCTTCACATTTTATAAAATAAGACACTTAATCGCTGCACTTCATTCATCCACCACCCCCACACATACAACTCTGCTAATACTTGGTATTGTAGCAAATATATACGGCTCAGAACTTTGAATATAAAAAAAATCTGCTTGCTTTAAAAAAAACATGCAGCACATAAAAATGAACTTTTTTTTCCTTTTAAAGACATCGATTAGTGGGCGTGTTAATTGGCAGAGGGAAAATGGAGTCAGAGGTAGGATACGAGCAGACGCTCACACTGGTGGCTTTTGATACAAAAAGCTGCAGAACAGCTTCTAGCTCTTGCATCAGTGACACCTTTCATTAAGAATCCTTCCATTTAATACAGTAAATTTCATGTCGAGAGGACGTCTTGACGCATTTCACAGAACAGTATATACTTTAAAGTGTGATGAGTTTTTTTGTGCAGGGACGGGGAAGAAACTCGGCAGCCAATTTTACGTGCAGCAATGTCCCACAAAACGGCCATGAAGTGAGTGACCGATTTTATCGCTAGAAGCCTGCCGCACGGTGTAAAATGTAACAGCTCTCCTTGTGAAGAGAGGTCAATATTTTGGGGCCTACACGCTCTCCTCCCCCATCCCCTGTACACACACTACTCAACATCGTACAGTTGATTTTCCCAATAGCATTAGCTCATCTATGGCTCTGCTTCTCCTCACAGCAAAGTCATAATTCAGAACTGTGGCTTTAGAGAGATTGGAGACCAAAATGCAGTTGTCATATTGTGAAGCTGGGCTGACTCACACTGAGTCACTGAGTGCAGCGTCAGAAGAGATGGCTGATGGTCAGAGCAGCAATGTCAGACCTAACAATTGGCCTTTGTGTCTCGTTCAATGACCTTCATAAGCAGGAAGCCTGGCTGACGTTCCACGCTTTCCTTCCTACCCCTGGCAATGCACCAGCCATCAACTCCCAGCACAGAGGTGTCAAATCTCAGGCTGCTCAGCTACACACAGAGCCACTGAGGAAACTTCACATCGTCATCTCACATCTTAGATGTTCTGTTACTCCAATTAGATCTTAATAATAATAATCTCTGCACTTGGTTATCACATCAGAAGGACATCTCACTGAGATGAAGATCTTAAGCAGCATTGCCAACTCTGTACAGCTGTAAAGCACCCATTTTTGCAACTAGTTAGTGGTTTATAAAGGGAAGTGGGACGAAAACTACTTTACAGAAGTGACTTTTAATTGAACTGAACTGTGTATATTCAGAATCAAGACATTTTGTTGAGACTTGAGGTAGAAAGTTTGTGGTTTACAGTTAAGGGGTTCAATGCTGTTGTCCAGGATCAGATTATAGGCAGGGCACCTCGCATTACATGGCGTTTGCATTGGAGTGGGGGCAAATCTGCTGTGCACCAAAGCAGCCTGTAATTTGGAGTGGGAAGGGAATTATCCTGAACTGGAGACTAGGCTGAAACAAATTCAAAGTAGACAGCAACAATTAAAAAGGAGTTCACACCAGCCTTGGGAATAAGGGTTTGACACAGTATGTGGAGGCTCCAACTACGGTGAGGTGAGGAGGGAGGGTAATGGCAGCAGATTCTATGTTTCTGTACAGTATTTATTCAGAGTCCACCTTGGAAAGGGATTGGTACAGGGTTAACACGGTGGACTATACATAGAATGGCCTATTTTCATGCCAAATTGCTTTGAGTTAAAAGGAAAGTGAGTAGCAGTGTTAAGAGACATATAGGGGGTGGGAGAGAAAAGTGCTTACAAGTCAGCTCACATCATGCACGTAGAGTGCAGCAGAGGTGCAAATAACAGAGGAAGAAACCAGGCCCAGTTTGAAGCATGCATGGTATATAGATTTCAAATGGAAAGTGCGAGGGATAACAGCAGTGTGACTGTCTGTGCAACTGCAATCAGTTGTGAAATATGCACAAGCAATCTTTAACATGCAGCCAACTGAGCAACTCCGATTCCTACCAGCTGGGATGTACAGCTGAACTCAGAGGTGTGTAAACACTGTCGAAAGTGGTTCAACAAGCAGGGAAGCCACACTATCAAAGGCCCAAGAGAGGCTTCACGCACAGCACAAAAGCAAACTAATTATCCAGCCTTCAATATCTCCATCCACTCAAGCCCTGCCAGCAGTTGTAGAGGCTGAGGGAGCCCCACGTTGACAGAGCTGAGGCCAGGCTATAGGCGTGTGTAATCCATCCTCAGTTTAACAGTAACTGTACAGTACTGTTTATCCTGACAGTCGTGGTGTTATTGGTTTGCCAAGACATGTTGCTCAGCCTCTCTCTCTCGTTCCCTCCAGCTGACACCCCCCCACCTCCCCCACAGGCATCACTAGGGGCTCCGAGGTACAGGGTGTCCACAAAATCCTGTTACCCCTGTCCCCCATTACAAAACAGTTATAAGAGACTACGGAGGAGCTGGAACAAGCTGTCAGAGATGCACTTTGCCTCCTCGCTCCATCCATGTTATGGAAGATGTGACACCAAACATGGCGACGGATCAGTATCTGCCACGAAAATGATGGCACTCACACCAATCCTCTGGACGTCCAAATATACAGGAACAGGAGGCGGCCATTCGAGCCTGTTCCACCACTTAATTAGATAATGGCTGATCTGTATCTCAACTAATCCTTTCAATTCCAATACAGTTAAACACTTGGACTGAATACAATTAAGTACCTTCTAAATACAATTATCATCATTCTTCCACATGGTTCAGTTATTGGTCTGTAGGTTAAAAAAAAGAGGGTAACAAGACTTTGTGGGCACCCTGTACAATCGGTTCACATCAAACATACCACATCAGAGGCCACGTAAAATCAATAACTTTTTTTTAAAAAAAGACCCCACCAGGTCTCCCTCCCTCCTGCAATCTGGCCTCAAACTTACTAAAGGGTTTGTTGATTTAAAAAATATCAAGAGCCATTTTCTCTCTGACGATGGGCACCCAGGGCAGAGAAGCAGACTGAGCAGCAAAAATATATTAAATCTATTTCAACTCCCTCGAAGCTAGAATTTCTTTACAGTTGGACCCAGAATTATTAAGATTGTTAAAATCCAGGCAGAGAAACAGGGGAGCAGGCAGCCAGCTGGGTGGAGAAGCCTTTGATAGTAAGGATGCAAACTGGCGATCGATCAGCCCACTTACTGCCTTGCTCACTGGAGTTCCAGGCCCACAGAGAGAGTATCCTGATCAGAGGTCCAAGTCATCACTTCCCAGTGGAGCACCGAGCAAACAGAACAACATATTCCACTTATTTAGTGTCTTTCATTTTAGGAGGATGTTCCCAAGGTGCTGAAACAAACTGCCACCAGGACATTCCTTCTCTGTAGTTCCATCACCTCCCTCTCCCCACAAGCTCAGATTTGGCATTGGCAGCGCAGAGTGGCTCAGTGGTCAGTGATTCTTCTCCTTCAGGGAGCAGACAGTGAAAGTTATGGGAAACAAAGAGGTTTTGTAATAAAAGGGGTAACTTCCTTTTTCAGTACACTTTTGTTAAAGTGAAATTGAGGCAACGCCTGGAGTGAGCCTTCTCCCAAGCTCCTGCCTGGTCCAGTTGAAAGCAGTGACTCACTCACTCCTCTCTGTGTCTCTCCTCCCCTCGAGCTCAGAACTCTACACTCCAGCTGTGAAGCAGAAAGGTCGGAGCTTGCACAGTAGTGAGGATTGGCCTGATTATAGGCAATAACTTCTGTCCAGCTTTGAACTCACAGAACCAAGAGAGATACCATCCAACCTTTAACTTTATCGAAGCTTCCAAGCTCCGAATAGTCATTCAAGCCCTACAACAGACTAATACTGATCAAGAATGACTTCTCATTCACTGAAGTTCACACAAGTTGAAACAGGATACAACTGTCCTGAGGTTCAAGAGAATAAAAACTCTTCCAGCATTCCGGGCATCTCACTTTTCCCGGGATAATCACGAGTGCCAGCCAGGATAATCCAGATTTTTTAAAAAAAATCACAGCAACTGGGAAAGATGCTTTCGTAACCAGCTCAGTACCTCTTGTGGTTTTCAGATTCAGTTAGGTCACCTAGTAATCAGAACCTATAAACTGGAGTCTTCACCCAGTAAAGCTCCTCACTCTCGCTGGCTTCTCTACACAGTGTTTCTGGCTGTGTCCCTTCCTCAAGCTCTGCATGGACAGCTGTCCTTCATCTCCATGCCCATCAGGGATTCAAAGCCAAGGGCATTTGTAAGTCTGCTTTATTCAAGTGCCTTTGCTTTGTGTTTAACATCTATCAAATTCTCATTTCTTTGTAGAAAGGTGTTTTTGGGTTCCCCCCTCCCACGACGGGTTCACATGCTCAAGGTTTACTTTGCCGCCGTTTTCATTGTCATCCATTCCAGCCCCTGAACCAGCCTGAAAAAGCAGAGAAGAGAAATGGTTTAAATTATTTCCAATTTAAAAAGTAAAACAAATCCTCGGCCCAGATTCTCCAAATCTGCTGCACAGCTCCCACTCGTGAGAGGAGCTGTTCAATCTCAGGCCTTCACCGTTGGTTTTAGAATTATCCATTTCTTAGTAAGAAATCTTGTTAACATTAGATAACAGTATACCTGTAATGCTAACAATTAACACCAGATGGAAAATAAAATTCAATTTTGAGGATGAACTTGTGTTAAGTCTATTTAAAGGTGGGGTAGGGTGTAGGGGTGTGTTATTCTATTTGAATGCCGCTATATAAATACAACTTGCTATTCCTTTGGCCGGCCCCTTCGCTCAGCTAACACAGGCTTGCTGCACATCTCCCACCTCCACCATTACTCCCCACATCTCAGGAACTCCCTGCCTCATTCCCTCTGTATACTCAACCCCATCACATCAGTCCTCATCAGGCTTTATTGGCTCTCTATCACAGAATGGATCGATTTTAAGATCGTCTCGCTCGTCTACAAATCCCTTCACGCCCAAGCACCTCCCTACTTCTCTGACTTGCTTACTCCCCAACCCACCAGCCATCGCCTCCACTTGACTGCCTTGAGCCTCCTGCACATCCCTTCTGCTCTACCATTGGTGGTTGTGCTTTCAGCCACTACCCCAGAAGCTTTAGATTTCTCTTTCTCAATCCCTCGGCCTTGCCCCCTTCTTCCCCTCTTAGATCACGACTGAAGACTTTCCTGTTAAGCGCTCCGAGACGCTGTGTCTAGTAAAGGGCACTCTGTAAGTAGTAGTAGTTGTTCCAATACTAACCCTTCGCCTGTGAGTGCACAGCAGCCCTGAATGTGCCATGGATGATCCTTGATTGAGGTCAGAGTTAGAAACTTGGAGATCTCAGCTGCCGACATGGAATTCTTCATATCCTGCTTGTTGGCCAATACCAGCACGGCAGCCTTCCGCAGATCCTAGCAAACAAAAACATCTTAAAGTGCTTTTATTCTTTATTGTCTTAAAAAATAGGCAACTTGGGAGCTGCTTGAAACTGCTATAGATACAGAAACACAGTCCAAGAAACCCCAGAGTTGGAGGTTTTACGGCTCCAATGCAGATCAATTCCATTGCACAGAAACTGCTGTACAAGCATCTCTGAACCTGCCCAGGAAGGGCATTTACCCACTGAACTAGCAAAGGAAATGAGCCAAATATTAAGAGAAATTTAAAACAGTGTGGAGTCGGGATTTCTTTTTCTGAAAAGAAATACCTTAAATGAGACTCTTGATCCTGTCATTGGTGCAGCTTTAGTTTGCGTCCAATGTGTCTTGTCTCTCCCCAGCCCTCTCACACCAGCAGCAGACTCCTGCTTTGCGCCTCCCCCGCGCCCCACCATATGCTGACGCCAGGCTGCCAGCCCTCCCACACCAATGTCAGACCACCTGGGCTCCCGCTGGAAGACACCTCGGTACCAGCCAGTGTCCTCTCTCAATCCAGTCCAATGTATTTGCTGACGTTATTCGCCCACAACACACAGTCAATCCACTTTACAATATATAATCTATGAAGCGCTTTGAGACGTCTCAACATTATAAGTCGCTACAATATGCAAAACGTAAGGATTAGAAGGATTATTACTGTTGCACCAGCAAATGTACCTCATGTGCCAGCATTTTGTAGAGTTCCTCTTTGGAAAGGGTGAGTCGTTCTCGGTCAGTACTGTCCACAACCAGAATGATAAACTGCAAACACAAATTGAAAGGGTGAACAAGGAGAAACTATTCCCACTGGTGGTTGGGTCGGTAAACCGAGGACCCCGATTTAAAATAGTTGTTAAACGAAACAGAGGGGAGGTGAGGAGAATTTTTTCATACAGTGAGTTGTTCAGATCTGGAATCATTGCCTGAAAGGGTGACAACTTTTAAGAGAGAAGTAGATAATTATTTGGGGAGGACAAGTTTGCAGGGCTATGGGGAGAGCGCGGGGGAGTGGGGTTGATTTGGAAGCATTGATTTACAAAGAGCCGGCACCGAATGGCCTCCTTCTGTCCTGCATGATTCTATGATAAGTTTGGGAACAGCACCAAGACTGCTGTGTGATGAATCAAAAGGCCAATCAACCAAAACACCTCCATCTACTGGAGTCATTTTAGAAAACTTGGTTTGGTTTAAACAGAATATATATATGTATATATATATATTATTTGTATAATATATGTATTATATATTATGCAAAGCGCTTTGAGACGTCTCAATGCCATGATAAGGCACTATATCAAATGCTAGAATGATTATTATTATTACAACATCTATAATAATAATTTGGTCATTTCAATCCATGACTGTTTGTGGGACACCACTGTGCACAATTGGCTGCCGTGCACAGCAGTGTCCCACAAACTGGGATTCATTTAAGAAACAGCTGGATGCTGTGATGGGAGGACGGTTAGGTTAGAGTATAGAAAGGAGAGATTAAACAGCCTGAAAGGTCTTCTTCATCCTAAACTGATCTTGTTCTCATTGCTCATCTTGATCTCAGCAGCAGTATACTGCATGCAGCAAGTTTAACTTAAACAGCCATTTTCTTCTAGGATCAATCTTATGGAATTCTGTGCCACATGTATACTGCTCAGATAATCACATTTTACAGTTTAAAGGGTGGTGGACACCTTTAAGGACACATCTACCAAGATCCAGTCAAGTTAGATTTTACTCTCATCTTACTATTATAACAAACAGCTAAATGCAGTCATGGCTCAGTGATCTCTTCAGTGGCTATCTTTCTCCAGCTCATTCTACATCACAAAACCACCCATTTTTCAGTAGCATTCAACTGCACACTGATTTGACCTCAACAGTCCCACAAGCTAAGTCTTGCAACAATGCAACTGAATAGTGCTCCTCCTGGCACATTTCACCCTTTGTGTTCTACACTCTCCTGTTTGCACTTTCAGGTTATTTCAATCAGAAAAGTCCAAACTAGCACTGCGTGTGTTTGCCAGATACTGTACTGCTGTGTACAAACTGGGTGTTACATTTGCCTACAAATACAGTCACTGGACTTTACAATAAATTCTGTGACGCACTGAGACATCTTCCTGATGTTAAAGGCACTGTATCATATACAAGTATTATTTTATATTGTGGGCCTGAGGACGGGATCCCAGGTATACCTGTGTGGGACGTTCTTCCAAAGGCACTTGTGAATGTGAATCTGTATTACACCTTCACTCTGCATCTGGTAACAACAGGACCTGACAGAGGGCAGCTGCCTTTCCAGTCAGTCAGACGTGCTGACTGCTCACTTTCAATGCTCGAGCAGTCAATATTTTGCGCAATGATCAACCTCTAGCGCCCTTCACATAAGCAATGGAGCGTTTTAGGTTTTGCTCAGATTATAGCATTGTTTAAGAAACTTTCCTTAGAGATCAAGACCAGTCTGAAGTCAAAATAATTCGAGACTTGGAAAGCTCCAGGGACACGATCTTGCTTCAGTGTTGTTTCTCTCTCTGCCACTCGTCACATTCACTTGCACATTTACCTGCATCCCCACACGCCATGTCAAATTTGCTCCAGGCTAGAGCTTGCCAGACTTTCCCTAAGATCGGACAAACACCGACAGTCAGAACATTCATTTCTACCCTTTGTCACCCCTCGGCCTGCGGTGTGAATGGGATGGATTCTACAGCACACATCGCTCAGGGCAATCCAGAACCTTTACTAACTGAAGCGAATTTACAAACGCCCTTAAAATGCAAACATGATATTAAACGTTAACCTTTTAAGAGGTCAGAATGAAACGATTTACAATCCAGGCACTAAGCTAATCTACTGATTGAAAAGACAGCACCAATTAGCTGGTGTTTGACGTGCACAAAAGTGGTTCTTCTCATTCTGGCTTCTACATGACTACAAAGTACACAGTAAATTCACTTTACAGTATATCCTGTAAGACACTTTGAGATGTTTCAGCGATGTTAAGGAGCTATATCAAATGCAAGGATTATTATTAATTATTGCACTTTACGGTATATTCCGTGAACCGCTTGGAGACATTCTTTGAGATATGAAAGGCTTTATATGAAATGTAAGTATCATTTTTGTAATAAAGGGGAATAGAATACAAAAATCAGGAAGTTATGATGAACCTTTATATAAAACACTAGTTAGGCCTCAGCCGGCGACTGTGTTCAGTTCTGGGCATTACACTTTAGGAAGGATAGAATCATAGAATCATACAGCACAAAAAGAGGCCATTCGGCCCATCAAGTCCGTACTGGCTCATTGAATAGAGCAATTAATGCCAATCCCACTCCCGAGCCCTGTCCCCATAACCTTGCAAACCCGTCCTCCTCAAATACCCATCCACCGCATTTTTAAAAGTAGTTATCAAATCGGCTAAGAGTAGTTATCGAATCGGCATTGGAGGTCAATTGGATGTCAAGGCATTGGAGAGGGTGCAAAGTAGATTTACTAGGATGTACCAAGAATGAGGGACTTGAAGTTGAGGAAGGAGGGGGCAAGGGGGAGAATGCTGCAGAGGTGAAGGCATAACTGAGAGCTCATGAGAGCTAAGATTAACAACAACAAGATTGTATTTATAGAGCGCCTTTCACATCTGGAGGTCGTCCAAGGCGCTGGACAGTTGGGTCGGAATCCGAGCAGGGGGGAAATGGTCAGGGGGAGGGAAGGGAGGGAGCGAGCGAGGAGGGGGTAGAGAGTCGAGAGGGGAGCTGAAGGCATGGTTGAAGAGAAAGGTCTTGAGACTGGCCTTGAAGGAGGAAAGGGAGGAGGCGGCGAAGGCACTGGGGATGGAGTTCCAGAGCCTAGGGGCTGAGAGGCTGAATGCCCGGCCACCGATGGTAGGGCGGTTAGGGCGGGGGATGAGGAGCAGACCGGAGCCAGAGGAGTGGAGGGTACGGGCAGGTAAGTAGGGGGATAGTAGGTCGGAGAGGTAGGAGGGAGCAAGGCCGTGAATGGCTTTGTAGGTGAGGATGAGGATCTTTAATTCGATCCTCTGGGGGATGGGGAGCCAGTGGAGGCGAGCGAGGTGGGAGTGACGTGGTCGCGAAGCCTGATTAACAAAATCAATGTATTCAAGAGATGCCTTGAAGCACACAAGGGAGAAGGTAATAGTAATAGGTAATAATAAAGGCAATAGAAGGGTATCGGAGATGGGGATAGGAGAGAGAGTTGGGGGCTGGTGTGGAATATAAGAATTGCCCAGACTAGTTGGGCCACTCGTGTCCGTGCTACATTACTTTATATCAGGAGAATAACAATATTCATGATTCTCAGTGATTCTTTGATCGATTAGCGTCATTCTCAAACAATCCTTGCATTTGCATAACACTGTTGAGATGTCTCGAAGTGCTTCACAGGATTTACTGTGAAGTGGTGTGTCTGTGAATATACATCTTACAGTGGAAAGTGTCTGTAAGGTAAGCCATACTGGAGCGCACTTTAAAGTTTCAACAACTTCTGAAAAGTTTTAGAACACCGTTCAGATATCATCTTGAAGCACTTCACTGAATAATATTAATAATAATCCTTGCATTTGATATAGCACCTTATCACATCTTCAAGAAGTCTCAAAGCGCTTCATAGAATATACTGTAAAGTGAATTGACTATATTTTGTGGGAAAAATACAACAGCCAATTGTGCACAGTGGTGTTAAACAGCCGTGGATTGAATGAACAAATTATTATTTTTTGATTGAAGGCATTATTACCCCCAGAAAGCCGTCTGCCAATTGACTAAGAACCTGGTTCCTGCTTACTGCTTGGTAAACAGAGGTGTGTGAAGTACGGAAATTTGCGTAACGTTTTACCCTGCCCGGGAATCAAACCCAGGTCTTTTTGATTGCGAGGCAAGTGCTCTAACCACTAAGCTACAGGAACCAATGGAGCTAGGTAATAACAGGCTGGCTTTAAAAAGAATGCTGACTTTAGCATCCACATTTCACAGGGTGAAAGCTTGGAAAAGTATTCCTGGCACCTGCCTGTTTTTTGTGGTTAACATCGCTTCCCACTGCCTGATGCTATTTGGAAGGAATTCTGGAGGGAAGGAATGCCAAGCCACGATCACTGTGAACGATCCAAAAACATACTTTTTCCAAACTCAGTCAAACTCTCTGGGATTCCATCCTAGATTCCCTCCAATTCACTCCATCCCGTTCAAGACGCATTTCAAAACATACCACTTTGACCACGCTTTGGGTCATCTAACCACCCCCCACCACCACAAAAAAGTGCAACTAGAGATTTCTTACAATGACTTGTTACAGCAAGCCGTCTAACCCCTCAGAAAACAACATCTTAAAAGAGGCTGAAAACAAATTGCGCACATTATTACTAAACCCAGCAAAACATCTGGAAGAATGCGACAAACCATAGATATGAAGTAATTTCGCTTGACAGAAAATCTTGTTAAATGCTTCCAAACGCCTCGAAGATGTGATAATCTGCTGTATTAAATGCGAGGATTATTTATTTAATTTTGATCAAAGTACTAGAATCCCATTTCCCTGCCAAACATTTGGTTAAAGCTACATTATCAGAATCGGCAATCAACAACAACAACAAGACAATAATAATAATAATCCTTGCATTTGATATAGCGCTTTTCACGTCGGGAGGACGTCCCAAAGCGCTTCACAGAATATACTGTAAAGTGAATTGACTGTATATTTGTGGGCAAACGCGGCAGCCAATTGCGCACAGCAATGTCCCACAAACAGTCGTGGATTGAAAATGACCAATTTATTATTGTTTTTGGTTTTGGAGGGATTATTATTAGGCTCTGTGTGGAGTAAGGAAATTTGCCCAAGGTTTCGCCCTCTGCCTGGGATTGAACTCAGGTCTCTCGCTTGCAAAGCGAGTGCTCTAACCACTGAGCTACAGGACTCACTTATTTATCCATTTATAGAGCGCCTTTCACGTCAGGAGGACGTCCCTGCCAGAGCTGCCCACACTGCAGACATGGAGCGCTCAGAGGGAGCTCGTCCAGCCTTCCATAGAGTCAGCACAGAATTTAAATCAAACTCACGGGTTTAAATAAGATAAAAGGAAGTGATTTGAGACAATGGTCGGTCGTGCGCTTCAGAGGGTAGCTATAACGTTTGGTCAATTAGATTCCTGCCTCTTCAACCATCTCGAACCAAAAGTGACCTGTTTACACGACTCCCAGAACAGACTGAGTGGAAGTATTCCAGGAGGGAAGGGGGGCGGGAAATCACCAATAGTCATAAAGCTTTCTGCCTTGTATAGTTGGGTCAGGTTCCATGCAGAACCCGAGCAGGGGGGAAATGGTCAGAGGGAAGGGAGGGAGCGAGGAGGGGGTAGAGAGCCGAGAGGGGAGCCAAAGGCACCTCTGGGGAGAGAAGTGAAAAGCAAATGGATGCACAGGGGGACACAGGGAACAATGTCAATGCAATTGTCATTGGGGACACAATGGTGAAAGGAGTAGACAGGCGTTTCAGTAACCAAAGACGTGACTCTTGCATGGTATGTTGCCACCCTGGTGTCAGGGTTGAAGACATCACGGAATGGGTGCAAAACATTCTACAGGGTAAGGGGAACATCCGGAAGTCATGGTCCATGTTGGGATCCATGACGTAGGGAAAAAAAGGGCTGAGATCCTACAGGGAGAGTATCAGAAGCTAGGGAAAAAGCTAAAGAGTGGGACCTCAAAGGTGGTGATCTCTGGATTACTCCCAGTACCTCGTGCAAGTGAGTATTAAAATAGCAGGATCAAACACATGAATGCATGGCTGAAGAAATGGTGCAGAAAGGAGGGCCTCAGGCTCCTGGAACATTGGGACCAGTTCTGGGGCAGATGGGACCCGTACAAGGTGGATGGGTTACACCTGAACAGGGCTGGGACCAATGTTCTCGCAGGAAGGTTAACTAGTGCTATGGGGAAGGGTTTAAACTAATTTCAAGGGTGGGGAGGAAAGGGATCATGGTATAGCATTGGAGAGGACAAGCAAGTTACATAGAGGGCTGGGAGAGACGAATAGCAATGTAATAAGGAGTAATCTGGAAAAAGGAGGAATTAGATGGGGAAGAAATGCAGAGCAGATTCAGTAGGTCTTGGAGAGCATGTGCGTAAATGCACGGACTGTGACAAATAAGATTGGTGAGCTGCGGCTCACGTTGCCACTTGGGGTTATGATGTAGTGGCAATAACGGAGACCTGGCTGAAACAAGGACAGGAATGGGAGCTGAATATTCCTGGCTACAAAACGCAAAATACTGCAGATGCTGGAAATCTGAAACAAAAACAGAAGTTGCTGGGACTCACTTTCTTTTCTCCATAGATGCTGCCTGACCTGCTGAGAGTATTCAGCTGTGTCCAGTTCTTGGCACCACACTTAGGAAGGATGTCAAGGCATTGGATGGGTGCAAAGGAGATTTTACCAGGATAGTACTAGGAATAAGGGACTTCAGTTATCAGGAGAGGCTAGAGAAGCTAGGATTCTCCTTGAAGCAGAGAAGGTTAAGAGGAGACTTAATAGAAGTTTTCAAAATTATGAGGGTGAACAAGGAGAAACTATTTCCACTAGCGGTTGTGTCAGTAACCCGAGGACACCAATATAAAATAGTTATTAAAAAACACAGAAGGGAGATGAGGAGAAATGTTGTCACACAGCGAGTTGTTCAGATCTGGAATGCATTGCCTGAAAGGGTGGTAGAAGCCGATTCGATAACAACTTTTAAGAGAAGTAAATAATTATTTGGGGAGGACAAGTTTGCAGGGGAGAGAGTGGGGGAATGGGATTGATTTGGATAGCTCTTTTCAAAGAGCCGGCACAGACACAATGGGCTGAATGGCCTTCTTCTGTGTTGCATAATTCTATGATTCTAAGAAGTGTAGTATATAGTAAAAAAATTGTTCCTTCCTGAATGACAGCACATTCCCACATTCCAAGACTGTTTGTGGGACACTGCTGTGTGCAATTGACTGTCACGTTTTGCCCACAAAACACAGTCACTACAGTTTACAGTATACTCTGTGAAACGCTTTTAGACTTCTCGAAGATGTGATAAGGCACAATATCAAATGCAAGGATTATTATTTTAAGTGCTTTGGGACGTGAAAGGCACTATGCCATTAATCAGCCACCGGATGGCTGGGGCATACCTCAGTGTTTGAATAATAGGTGCTCCACGTCGATCGTAGCATCTCCTGCCCGCCGATGTCCCACATCAGGAAGTGAGTATTTTTCACAACTATTTCCTCCACATTGCTGCCGATTGTGGGCGATGTGTGAACCACCTCATTCATTAGGCTGTTGGACGAAAGCAGGCAAGAGGGTTAGGGACCCGTGGCATACGAGGAGGCCTGAATAGAGTGAACTAAAATATCTGTCGTCACTGGCTTCAAGCTTTAACCTGATATTACAGATGAGCACAAATAACAGCAATCTAGAATTCCTCACTTGGTTGGGAGGAATAATAATAATCCTTCCATTTGATATAGCAGCTTATCACGTCATTGCGTCGTCTCAAAGCGTTTCTCAGAATATATTGTAAAGTGGATTGACTGTGTATTTTGTGGACGAATCGCAGCAGCCAATTGCTCACAGTTTGTGTTCCACAAACAGTCGTGGATTCAGTGACTTTTTTTGAGGAATTATACGTCCAGAAAGCAATCGCCAATCAACTAACAACTGGGTTCCTATTTACTGCTTGATAAACAGAGGCATGTGAACAAAGGAAGCTTGCCTAAGGTTTTGCCCCATTCGGGAATCGGACCTGGGTCCTCTCGCTTGCGAAGCTACTGCTCTAACCACTACGCTACAGGTTTATTTGCCAAAGCCTATCACATGTTGAAGTATTTGGTGCTGAGTAAGCCTGTTACATGGCATTGGACTTGGACCTTAAGAATCCAGGTGGCTGGCACATCACAATCTGTCCTATAAAGGTCCTCCCACCAAACTCAAAGGCAGACATCAGTCAAACAGCTGAAGAGGAAAGGCTACCTGCAGTCTGAGTTCGTGAAGACATGTTTGTACATCAAGGATTAAAATCCACATTGATTGGTTTGCAGAGAGGCAAGCAGATGCAGCTCAAGCTCTGCACCTCCAACTGAAAGGATGTGTGTCTAAGAAGTGGGCAAGAATAGGGTGCCAATGCTCTCACACAATTGTATTGGGTTGCTTATCAAAAAGCTTGCAGGGAGTTCTTGGCTCGAACCCGCACTGGTCGGATGTCAAATGACCAACTAGTGATTATCCTCCTTTGAGGGGAGGAAGGAAAGGAGTTCACATTCCCTTCAAGGTGACAAGTTTGGCAATGGAATGTCAGAATCAAGCCTGGTGGGTCCCCAGGACTCCAGGGCACTGCTGATGACAATACATACTGGTCTGTCCTTCCTGACTTGGAAGGACAGACCAGTTACTGGGGTAGGGTCTCTTTTCACTCAACTCCTGTTGACCCTGCAAGCCAATGCCCAACAGGTAGGGTGGTCCTAACTGGGCAAGCAGTGGAAAAGCTTGGCCTACAGTGCTCTCAATGACAAACTATGCTCTTTTAGACTCCAGAAGTTACCCCAAAACATACGCTGGAGTCTCCAACCTTTAGCCCTTGCCAATCTGCACCTAATACTCTGTGGAATTAGGTAAACAGGATGCATTCCTCCAGGAGAGAGAAAACACATATTCCATTCCAATAAATATGTTGGGAATTTCAGTGTATAGGTGGAATGATAGAACTCCGTTTAGTTTGGATGCTTTTGAACGTAGTGATGGGTTTCTGCATGTGTCACACCTGATTGACAAAAAAAAATACATACTTGGCTGTGAATCAGTCAATAGTGCCAATTAGTGTCTAATTGTTAACAGATAGCATGTGCTGGTGGCTGGTTTGTACTGAAGGGCCAGAGAAATAACAGCAGCTAGTTTTCCTGCTCCCAAAATACAATAATCTCCAAGCAACTTCGCCAATCAGACACTTCAAGATCAAGATCATCCGTCCTCTCCTTTACTTCGTCAGAATGTACAAATAACCTGTCGTAATGCTGTAGGAGCTGTAGATCAATGCTGAGCCATTGATTCTGCAGAATTGTACCCAGGATCCTACACACTGCCAGTGAAGAATGAGACAACTTCTGGGTATATACAGTAGCTCAGTACACTGGCGAGGTCACAAACACAGGGCAGAAGACTACAGAGCAAGCCCTGGATTGCTGAAATTCAGAGCTTGGCCTTCCTATTGGGGCACAGTGCCTCCTTCCAAAATCAAGAAGGCTAACATTTCAGTCTTACATGGGTACCAGCACATAGTAAGAATATATACATATATTATATAGCTCCTTTTTTAAACTATGTGTCAGCCTGGCTTAGTTGTAGCACAGTCTCCTTAGTCAGAAGGTAGTGGTTCAGGACCCACTTCACGACCTGAACTTATATCGTCCAAGGCGGTGTGGTCCAATAGGTGGCCCACAGGCTGCATCCGGCCCGGTGGGTGATTTTATCTGGGCCGGCGGGTGATATTATCCGGGCCGAGACCATTTCCAAGATTACAATTTCTGCTCCCACCTGGGCAGACCATCTTCTTGTAGAGGTGGCAAGAACCGGCGGTTGAGAGGACGTAGGCGGATGGTGGAAATAATGCTGGCTATTACTGTACTCTGCACCCAAGCTGAGGGAGGGGCTTCCTGACAGGAAAGCACGTCTCCTTATCCACCTTGTCCTTACCAACCGCCAGCTCCTGCTACTGCAGATAGTAAGCTGGGCTGATTAAGGGAAAGACGGGAAGAGGGTGTGATTGAGAGAGGGGGAGAGAGAAAGAGAGTTGGGGGAGAGAAGGAGAGACTGATTGAGAGAGAGTGTGTGAGAGAGGATAGTGGGAGAGAGTGTTAGAGAGAAGAGAGTGTCAGAGGAAAGAGGTGAGAAGGGGGAATTGAGAGAATGAGTGTGTGAGAGAGAGAGAGTGTGATAGGGGATAGAGTGTATGTGTGGGAGAGAGGGATAGTGAGAGAGTAATTGAGAGAGAATGTGTGAGAGTTAAAGTGAATGAGAGAGAAGAGAGCAGTATTTCATGGTTCACTCTCAGGTCAGACAATCCACTCTCTGAAACTCAATTCCTGAAGTCCCTCCAACTCGCTCCCTGCCCTCTTTCAAGTCACATCAAGACCATACTTTTAGTCATCGTGGAGTCCTGAAGCGTAGTGGTTAGAGCACTTGCCTCGCAAATGAGAAGACCTGGATTCGATTCCCAGGCAGGGCAAAACATTGGGCAAGTTTGCTTACTCCACACACCTGTGTTTAACTAGCAGTAAGTAGGAACCTGGTTGTTAGTTGATTGGTGGATCACTTTCCAGGGGTAATAATCTATTGGGAGTCATTATAGAAAACTTGGTTTGGTTTAAACTCAGAATATATGTATAGTTATATGCGCTTGAGACTTGATAAGGCACTATATCAAATGCAAGGATGATTATTATTATAACATCTATAATAATAATTGTATTATTTATTTAATATTATTACAACATCTATAATAATAATTTGGTCACTCAATCCACGACTGTTTGTGGGACACTGCTGTGTGCAATTGGCTGCTGCAGTTCGCCCACAAAATATACACTTCAATTCATTTTACAGTATATTCTGTGAAGCGAATTGAGACGTCTCCAACATATGATAAGGCACTATATCAAATGCAAGGATTACTGTTGTCTTTTCCCCTCCCCATCCCATCTCCCTCAGCTCCCACTGCCATCTCAGGTACCCAGCCAGCAGCGTGCTGTGTAAATGTTATGTTTCTGGAAGGGAAACACAAAATATTGCAGCTCGCACACCTTTCTCAAACAGAGCATCCGGCCTGCGGCAGCCAAAAGGTTGGATGGTTTCTAAGGAAACTGACACTGCAGTGCTGAGAGTGAGTTGCATTGTTGGAGGTGCCGTCTTTCAGATGAGATACTAAACCAAGACCCCGTATGCCTGTTCAGGTGGATATTAAAGATCCCGCGGCGCTATTCGAGAAGAGAAGCGAGTTTTTCCTGGTGGCCAACAAAACCCCAAATAAAAAAAAGGTCATTCATGGCTGTTTGTGGGAGATTGTCATGTACAAATTGGTTGCTGTATTTGCCTACAAATATACACTTCACAATAAATCCTGTGAAGTACTTTGGATGTCCTCCCGACGTGAAATGCACTGTACCAAATGCAGGGATTATTATTAATCGTAAGGTATAAGAAGATCACAAAGAGATGGAGGATAGAAAAGGAAATTACTAGATTCCACCCCTTTGAGAAGAATATACAGTCAATTCAATTTGCAGTATATTCTGTGTGTGCCTTGAGATGTCTCAAAGATGTGATAAGGCACTATATCAAATGCAAGGATTATTATTATAAGATTACTGCACTCCCCCACCCACCCCTCCTTCCCCTTTTTGGTTCACAACGTTGCTCAGTCATTGGAATTGTTTTGAATCTAAACCCGTTGGTGCCAGATATACTGAGAATATGTGCCAGATATACTGAGAAGATATAATGAATGGAAACATCTCAACTGAGCTCTTTAGTGCAAAAGTTATCCAGCACTTGAAAGTGGCTTTGAATTTGTACCCCACTACCTGTCTGTGTCTTTGACACATGAAGCAGAAAAACAGAAGTTTCAGGCAATAACATGTTAATAGCCATGCATGCAGAAGCCTTTAAATACCAAAGCTGCAGTGGTACCTTTTTGAAAGGTTTGTGGTAGAGTGTTGGAAAATTGTTCACATAAAACCCTCCTCAGATGGCAGCTGAGGCCCCAAACTAACAGTTTCAACCCTGGAAGGCAGCAACCGTTAGTTAGCAAATAAAACTTTTGGTTCACAACTTTACTCAGGTGGTTGGAGCAGTTTTGAATCTGTTCTGACAATATGTGGAAACGTCTCAGTGGAACTCTTTGGTGTAAGCGTTCAGGAATTTAAAGCTGTCTGAGTTGCGAATCTACACATCCTCCGCAGCCTGCGAGAGGAGGTTGTGGCTAATGTCAGGGAGCCCACAGGAAGCTTGCTGGGGAGCGGTCAATTTGGGAACTCTCCCCCCAAAAAACTGCCGGGACTCGAGAAAAGGCACCGAGTGCAATTAGAATTTCCTTTCCGCACTATACTGTATGACAAGCAAGTTGCTAACTCAACAGCATGTGTTCTCTCCATAGAAAGGGAGTGACAGACTAAATATTGGTTTATGGAGTATTTCCGTGTCACCGTTCACATCCACCACATCCCTGAGGAGCTCATCGTTGTACCAAACTCAGTGGCCTGGTGCAGATTGTTGATTACCACAGAACAACTGGCACCTTATTAAGCCCAGAGTCAGGGTCACTCACTGCATTCTAGTCACAACACGGGCACTGAGGGTACAGACAGTCTGTGCAATGGTAAGGCAGGAGATAAAGAGTTCCTACTTGATAAAACACCAATGTTCTGAAGTGTCTGTGGTAAGGAGCTGCTGAAACATGGGAATTGAGGCCAAGGCCCCACAAAATGGATTAAGATCTCACCACTTCAGATTTCTTCATGCCAGCGCAGTTGGAGGAACTGCATACAGCAGGAAGCAACCTCCAGCAATGTCAACAGTCAATCAACCTGCAACCTGCTAGCAAGTACAGAGCAAGTACAGAGATTAGCAGCAGTTTTGAAAATTATGTGAACGTCATAGTAGGAATAATAATCATCTTTTCATTTATATAATAATAAATAATAATAATTCTTGCATTTGATACAGCGCCTTATTGCAACACTGAGACGTCTCAAATAGCTTCACAGGATTTTATGTGTGAAGTGCAGCGAGTATTTGTGGGCAAACACGGCAGCCCATTTATGCACAGCAATGTCCCGCAAACAGCTAGGAAGTGAATGGTCAATTTAATAGCCGAAAGAGAGATCAGACAGAAATAGTGGGCTCTTTTTGTACAGTGCTGCACACTTGCCTGGTCATCAAATAGACCCAGTTTCTCAGTTCTCGGATAAAACTACAGTCAATTGTCTTTAAAAGTAAACAAATTCAAACCTCTATTTAGATTGCATCACATACAGAATGATTTCCTGCAAAGACTATGTACGTGAGCACTGAGGCATTTCTGACGGTACGCCACCTACACAGTTCCTGTCCACCACCAATGGGGAGACTAAGCCCATACTCACAACTGATAAAGGATGGTCGTTTTTCCGGCGTTGTCCAGTCCAACAATGATTACCTTGTGCTCTGAGGAGAAAGAGAAAACTCAATAGTTTGGTATATAATAATCCTTGCATTTGATAAGCACAACATTGAAGCATGTCAAAGCACATCATAGGCCTTTACTGTGAAGTGTAGTGACTGTGTAATTGTCAACAAGATGGTATAAAGAGGCAACTACATTGATTGCCAGAAACTCTTGTTCTATTCTAGTGTAGAAGTTTACTTATTGGCTGTAAGGCATAGTGAGTTAGCCCGGCTCAGGCACTCTCACCTCAGAGGGAGGTTGTGGGTCCAACCCCCATGTTGGGACTTTAAGATCACAGTGTAGACAGACAGTCGGATCCTGGGGATCAGGTGGTCACTAAAGATCCTGCTATTCAGAAGGAGTTTCCCCAGATAGGTTGGTCCTTCCCCAGTCTAAAGGCTAACCTTGTCTGGATTAGCGCTCTGCGACGCTATTCGGCGTGAAGGGTGCTTTACAAAGACAAGTTGTTGTTGATTGTCCTTTCCCAAGTATTATGCAGACTGTATTTAGAGAACTGAAGAAACAAAAAGCAGTGCAAAAGACATCTCTTTGGACCCAGAGGGAAACTGTGCAACACTAGACAGCTTTCCAAGGCGCTCAGCTCTCACACAAGAGTGCCAGAGCAATGGGTTGTAAATAGACATATAGATGAAGAAGCCTTCAGTGACTCATTCGCCCACACTCCAGACACAGTTCCTGAGACCTGTGGTAAAGCTGCCCCAGAAAGGGCAAGGCTAGCAGTGGGATAAAGACAGCAAGACTACAGGTATAAAGGAATAGAACAGTGGCAGGGGCAGGGGTGTGGTTTTACGTGTTGAAAACATTAGCAGTTAAAAGTTGTGATCGAGGTTTCAGCTTCCTATGGCTCCAGCTGACGAGACTTTCTATTCAATCTTCAGGCAGCCATCTGTCACCACAAAACAATTGTGAAAGTGAAGATAAAAAAAATCTGCCCACAGCAGTCCCTTAAATTCCCCCCTCATCACCTCCCCCACTCCCAGTCAACCTTTTTGGAGAAGTTGAGAATTCCAGATGATCTCTCTTTTGAGAGCAGACTGCTGCCATTCAGACTGCAGCTGTCACCAAGCACACCCCTAGCCTCTCAAACAAGCAAGGAGACACAGCTGTACACACACACACACACACACACACACGACCCCCCACACCCACCTCTCACATCCCCTTCACTCACTACGCCACTACACACCCACCTCTCCACATCCCATCACTCGCATAACTCCCGCCTTTGTGCTCCCTCAAACGTGTGTATACCTCACCCTTCCACCGCCCCCTCTCCCACCCACACATACCACACTCACTTGCACTCTGTCAAACACACACACCTCCGAGCTGACTGCCAGTTTAGTCCCTCTCAACCAAAGTTCAAGACTCAGATCTTTCTCTTTCTCCCTCATCAATCCCCCTCACCAGCGCCTTTCTCAAAGTGAAAGGCTCTATACAAACATAATTTTTTTTATTGTATTGTGTCATCCACCCATTGCCCCCATTCCAAATTGGTGTGTGGATGGCAACAACCCTGGAAAGGAAAGTCAGGAGTAGAACAAAAGAACTGAATCAAGGATAGACACTATCACACCTGGCATGCACTGAGCTCGCCATAAAACAGTGAAATAAAACCGGTCTGATGTCAGCTGGAACAAGTCTCAGCCATTCAAATTCTAACCAACAGAATCGGTTATTAGGAAGCAGGAAGGAAGAACTTGCCTGGAATAATCTCACCAAATTGGTCACGTTGCACGGAAAGTTTGCATATCTTACTGACTGGGAAACTCGTGCTGAGGCAACACCATCAGTCAGACGATTTGTCACCAGGTTGGTTAGCTCCACACTTTTATGGCGAGGAGTTAACCCTTTATATTCCACTAACAATACACAAAGGAGTCATGGAAGGAACAACTACCTTGGGATCACCCACAAAATATATGGTCAATTCACTTTAAAGTATATTCTGTGAAGCGCTTTGAGACGTCTCAAAGACGTGATAAGGCACTATATCTAATGCTAGGATGATTATTATTATTATTAATTACAGTGTAAGGTGCAAGAGTGGACCGAAAAAATGACCTCAGATTCCGCCAGCTGTGTATAAAAAAGTTTTTCTACCATTAGGTCTGGCAGATCTACTAATATTTCAATATTATCATAAACAAAAGACACATAAAACTACTGCCAGTGTTGGCAGGACACCATTTGCTTTGGCAATACAATTGGGAGCTGAGCTAGAAAAGGGTTCTATTACTTAGCGATGGTTCCAGTACAAAAGCTGAACGATATTCAGACACTGGTGAGACTGACGATTTTAGTTTTTTTTAAATTGACTGTAAAGACTATGTTTTTGATTTGAGCCACGTAACTTCCAGCTCAAACCACATGCGGTAAGAGAGATAGCTCCATCTCAACTTGAAAGGCACTGAACAGACAATAACCTAAGGCTGGATCGGCAGGCCTGACAATGAGCATTTGAATAGAGAATCCACCTGGTCGGATTCCCAGAGATGCTATAGTTCATCACGTGCTGAGAACAAGCTCCCTCCCCAACACCCAGCCCGTTGGGGAAACAGGTGCAGCATACGGACACGATTCAGCCACAATCACATGGCAGACGCCTGACAAAACAAGCCAATGCTTTTCAAATGGTCGAAATGCCTCAACAAGAACAACCACAACAAAATTACATTTGTAAAGCGCCTTTCACGTCGGGAGGACTTCCCAAGATGCTGGACAGACAGAGTTACGGATCCAAGCCTAGTGCACGGGATACAGAGTTCTGGATAATCTGCAGCCTATGGAGGCAGGAGTTGGGGAGGCCAACAAACAATGAGTTTGCATAGTCAAGAGTCGATGTAATGAAAGCATGTATGAGGGTTTCAGCAGCCTGTGGTGTGAGACAGTGGCGGAGCCAAGCGATGTTGAAGAGATGGGGGAAAGCAGAGCGGGTCATGGCGCAGATGTAGGGTAGAAAGGATAGTTGAGGGTCAAACAAGACAAAGCACTTCACAGGATTTTACCGTAAAATGAATGTATTTTGTACATCAATATGGTAGCTAATTTAGGCACAGCAATGTCTCACAGCCAACCCTGATTGAATGCCCAAAGTTATCTGTGGGATTGTCAACGAGCAGCAACTGGGAGTAACTCTTCTCGAATAGTGCCGTACATCGCATCTTTAATGTCTGCCTGAACAGATACAGATGGATTATCAGTTTAATGTGCGATGTGAGAATGTAGCACTCCTCCCATTGCTGAAGTGTCATCTTGGGTCAATGTGTGACTTGAACCCACTACCTTTTGGAATTAAAAGCAAGAGCGTAACTTACTAAGCAATACCGCTGAACCTGCTGAGTGAGATGAACTAACACTCCCAGGGTACAATGGTGCAGGAGGAGGGGTGTAAGACAGGTTGGAATGGTGAATGCATGAAATGAATGAACACACTGGAATTTACCTCTGGGAACTGCAGTACCCACACAGAGCTTTCCATCTCGAGGCAATGTGGGTTGGCTTGGTTTGCCGGGCTGTTATGTGTCAGTAACACTCAGAGGTGTTGACACAATGGATCTGATCTAATGGGCAGACCAGCTAAAATGACTCGCTCTGCTACTTGCGTGGTCTTGGCACGGCAAGCCAGCATGATTGTTCCTCTAGCCCTTGAGCACACGTTACATTACCACTCACAGGACAATTCCCCCCTCAATCGAACACAGTGGGAGCTCACCTCTACTACCAGCTGTAGGAGGCTCTATGGGTGACAAATTAGCAACAAGGCTACCGTCACCAAGTGCTCGATCAGTCCCAGCCATTCCTGAGGGTCGTTCAAGTTACTCCAGCTTCTGGGATTTGTTACCAAACAGAATCAGAGTGACTGCCATCAACCGCACCAAGTCAGATGATCACAGGATACACTTGTGTCTAACCTGAACTCTTGACAGTGACACTTGCAAAGCGAGTGCTCAAACCACTGAGCTACAGGACTCCACGTTATGGAAACAAGGAAATGCAAGGGAAATAAACAATTTGGGCTGTGTATTTGGAGGATGGGCATATAAAGGCAAGAAAAGCAAGGTCATACATTGACAGCAAAACAGGAGCATAGCATTTCTGGAGAACTACAACAACTTGCATTTATACAGCACAGTTCGTGCAGGGCAACGTCTTGCGAGCGCTTGGAGACCGCGCTCACATCAGGTGACAAGGCCCATTCAACAATTTCTCAAACAAGTCTCACAGACTGACTGCTACCATCCTCCCTGGTAATCCATTCCAGCTGTTGATTACCCAGTGTCCATCCTAACATCTCCCAAAACAACGCTAAACCAAAGTCCCACCTACCTTTTCAGGGGGAGGTTAAAGATCTTGTGGCATGAGCTTGCAACACAATATACCTCTGTCATTTGTTCAGGAATGCTATAACTAATTATTAAGAACTATTGTAACATACTAAGCAACAGAAGCATCAAAATCTTTAATCCTGTTGTACAAGCACTGCCAGTGCAGTGAACTGAGCTACCAGAACAAAGACAGAATAAACTTACTGAACTGGCGCAGGTTACACATAGATGCCAGGACTGAAATCTGACAAGTTTCAGATGACAGCTGTAAAGCAGTACAGCTTTGGCTTTGTTTGAAGTTCTCTATTCACCGATCGCCATTATTCACAGCAAAGAGTGCACTCCTTGCTCAGGCTACACACATCACTGCAAGTTTAAATCAAGAACAATAAAGTCTCACTGGAAAGTCAGTTGGGACTTGCACTGTAATAAATAATCCTATAATCCTTTGGGAGACGGCCCATAGCATTTCGCAGGATATAGTGTGGATATGGTGTGAAGTGGAGTGACTGTGTGTTTTTACTGGCAAACATTGTGCAGAACAATGTCCTTCACTAACCCAACTAGCTCTGGTTGTATTTGACTCCTGGTAAAATAGATGGCAATTTGAAGCTGCTCATACGTATGCGCATCAGATAAGAGTAGCTTCACAAGCAACTCATTCGGTGAGTCATTGGAATAAGATTTATAACAAAGGAACATACACATTCATAACTTGATAGATGTCAAAACAGAAAAAAGTAAGCTATTTGATAGGGCTCTATTGCCTCTCGCACTGCAACTTTGCACACCCATAATGATTCACTCTAAACAAATTAACTAGTTTTGAAAAATGACGAGCAAATGTGGAGGAACTGAAAGTTGCTGAAGCAAGTATGGTGAGATTCGATCCTCGGGGAGTTATCAGAAGAAAGCATCTGGCCAGGGTTGTACAAGAGATTAAAATTCAGAAAAACTTGCTTGGAGATTTTCTTTACTTTTGCTATTGAAGTGATAGCAACAACAACAACAACAAGATTACATTTGCATAGCGCCTTTCAAGTCGGGAGGACGTCCCAAGGTGCTGGACAGAGTACAGCATTTCAGACCCGAGCTGGGGTCGGGGGGTGGGGGGAGAAGGGAGGGGAGGGGAAGGGGGGTAGCCGATGGCATGGTCGAAGAGGAGGGTCTTGAGGCTGGACTTGAAGGAGGCTAAGGAGGGGGTGAGGCAGAGTGAGTGGGGGATGGAAAAGGACCTGCTAGGATACTGGGAGCCAGGACTGCGGTTAAGGTGATGGGCATGTAGAGCTGGGCCATGCAAGGATGCAGGCGGATTGATAATGGTACAATGATTTACCATCATTTGCAAATACACTAAACTTGTCAAAACACATTTGGTTTGGTTGAAAATCCCTATTTGAAGCAGGCTGCTTGTCAACATTTNAAAAAAAGTACTGAAGCAAACACTCTGAAGCCTAAACTTAAATGTAGGGACACCGCAAAGTTGTAAACAGCTGACAGAGATTGAATGGAAGCAATATTTCACAAGACGCTCTACTCGGTGTTCAGCTACTTTTATAAAACTAGAGCATTTTCCTTCTAGAACCACTCAGAGTGCTTTACTCTGTCCAGCACCTTGGGACGTCCTCCCGACGTGAAAGACAAGTGTAACCTTGTTGTTGTTTACAAAAACAGAGTGCGAGAGAGATAGCTGAAGGCGCAAAGTGATGGTTTCTCTTTTAAAATTGAACATCTAGCTGTTTCACTATCAGTGAGTATTTAAAAAACGATACTGTGCAAAATAATATAATTTCAGGAACTAACAAAATACAGTGACTGCGCTGGTCAGCTCTGACATGACAGCTGAGCAAAAGTGAGACTGGTTGAATGAGGAATCATGAAGCAGGTGGCCCCACTGCCTCTCACAACTCTAATGGGATGGCAGTAGACAGCAGGAAAGTAAACAAACTGCATCTGTTCACATACTTTACTCGAAAGTGGGGTCAGGGCTTCACTAGGCAGAAAACCACAGCTGCCAAATGCTTGGGTTACCAAGGTGAAAAGTGGTTTGAGTTGATGGGCAGCCATTCGGCTTCTGCTCCGAGAGAAGCTTTGCAAAAGCAGCCACCTCTAAGGGCAGTGAATACATTTCACTGCCTCTTTCACCAAGAAGAAAATATTCACGGGAAACTGAAACACCGTCAAGCAGTTGCCCACCAGCACTTACTGCACTTTACAGTAAATCCTGCAAAGGTGCTAACCAAATGCAAATATTATTATTCCTCTTCCAAGTGTCATAATTGTGACATAAATGTCTTCCATACTTCACAGTAAAATGAGTAGTTATTCAAAACTATTTGCAATGGTATACACAGTAGTGGCACCACATAAACTGAACACAGATCTACTATTAATTCTATATAACTCTATACTCAGGTTTATGTGGTGAAGTCCTGTAGCTCAGTGGTTAGAGTGCTCGCCTTGCAAGTGAGAGACCTGGGTTCGAGTCCTGGTTGGGTGCAAGTTTTGTTACTCAACATGCCTGATAATAACCCCTCAAGAAAAAAAACAATATACTGCTCACTTCAATCCATGACTGTTTGTAGGACACTGTTGTGTGCAATTGGCTGCCATGATTCGCCCACAAATATACAGTCAATTCACTTTATAGTATATTCTGTAAAGAGCTTTGAGACATCGAGAAGACGTGAAAAGCTCTATATCAAATGCAAGGATTATTGCTATAATAATATAATAAACAGTCTTACTTTCAACGTCCTAACTGGATGAACTAGATAAAACTTAAAATGTTGGTTTGTTACGCCTGAATCCACATGCCTTGAATCTATCTTTCAGAGATTTATGACCAATTCTTTATTTTCAATTTATTATCCATTTCTTCAATTCAGATTTTTACAATGCCATTTAAGATTAGATAACAACATTACCCTGACAGTGTAATGCACACAGGGCCCTGTATTTCTCGACTGAAACTAGAGGAGAGACTCCAGTCAGGCGATGTTTCTGATCAGTATTTAATCGAAAAATGTGAAAATCTGAACAGGTCATATAAGTAGAAGGTGTTGCAGGAGAGGAACGCAGAAAGTTTCTGATGCATCTCCCCCTCCCCACCCAACATCCCACAGCATGCTTCACATCAACAGGTAGAGATGGAGTGAACAAAAAGGATGAACAGTGCAACCGACCTATACATATATATGTATTACAAAATAATCTTTGTATTTCATACAGTCTTTGTATTGAGACTCAAAACATCTCAAAGTACAGGGTATGCAGTGACTGTATGTTTTGTAGACAAACTCGGCAGCCAATTTGCACATAGCGACATCCCACAAACAGCCATGTAGGGAACGAGCAATTTTATCTGATGGCGATTGTCGGCCAGAACACCGGGAGAGAGAAATTTACTTCTCTTTTCCCAACAACACCGTGGGATCGTTAATGTCCGCCCCGGACAGGGCACAAGCGAGAGCGCGGTTTATCACCTCAAGTGAAGGACGGCAATGCTGACAATGCCGCGCTTCCCCAGCCGACAGTCACTACACAGAGGGCCCACAGTCACTACACAGAGGGCCCACAGTCACTACACAGAGGGCCGACAGTCACTACACAGAGGGCCGACAGTCACTACACAGAGGGCCGACAGTCACTACACAGAGGGCCGACAGTCACTACACAGAGGGCCGACAGTCACTACACAGAGGGCCCACAGTCACTACACAGAGGGCCGACAGTCACTACACAGAGGGCCCACAGTCACTACACAGAGGGCCCACAGTCACTACACAGAGGGCCGACAGTCACTACACAGAGGGCCGACGACAGTCACTACACAGAGGGCCGACAGTCACTACACAGAGGGCCGACAGTCACTACACAGAGGGCCGACAGTCACTACACAGAGGGCCCACAGTCACTACACAGAGGGCCCAGTCACTACACAGAGGGCCGACAGTCACTACACAGAGGACCGACAGTCACTACACTGAGGACCGACAGTCACTACACAGAGGGCCCACAGTCACTACACAGAGGGCCCACAGTCACTACACAGAGGGCCCACAGTCACTACACAGAGGGCCCACAGTCACTACACAGAGGGCCGACAGTCACTACACAGAGGGCCGACAGTCACTACACAGAGGACCGACAGTCACTACACAGAGGACCGACAGTCACTACACAGAGGGGGAAGACTCCAAACCGCCCGCCCTTACCTTGGTTACAGAAGAATCCCATCAGTTTGGCCAGAAACATCCCCATCTCCTGCCCAGCGTCCGGCCCGCGCGGCCGAGTCACCCTAATGCCCTCCGGGAGGCCCGACCCCGAGCCGCAGTCTCGAGTTATATTCCCACCCGACTCGACCGAGGCCCCCAACACCCCGGGGGGGAGCGCGCGGAGGGGAAGGGGAGAAAAGAGTAAGAACTCTTCACAAAGACATATTGTTGCAGGAAATAATGACAATGTCAGTGAGTTGTTGGTGTGAGAGACACTCGTAACGGATGAACATCCATCACCTCATAACAGCACCTGCAGCCACTGCCCGGCGCCGCTCGCGGGCTTTATACTCCGCCCCGCCCCCAGCCCGGCCTGTCAATCACACCACACCCCGCCCCCAGCCCGGCCTGTCAATCACACCACACCCCGCCCCCAGCCCGGCCTGTCAATCACACCACACCCCGCCCCCAGCCCGGCCTGTCAATCACACCCCGACCCCGCCCCCACCCCGCCCCAGCCTGTCAATCACACCACACCCCGCCCCCAGCCCGGCCTGTCAATCACACCACACCCCGCCCCCAGCCCAGCCTGTCAATCACACCCCGACCCCGCCCCCAGCCCGGCCTGTCAATCACACCACACCCCGCCCCCAGCCCAGCCTGTCAATCACACCACACCCCGCCCCCAGCCCAGCCTGTCAATCACACCACACCCCGCCCCCAGCCCAGCCTGTCAATCACACCCCGACCCCGCCCCCAGCCTGTCAATCACACCACACCCCGCCCCCAGCCTGTCAATCACACCACACCCCGCCCCCAGCCCGGCCTGTCAATCACACCACACCCCGCCCCCAGCCCGGCCTGTCAATCACACCACACCCCGCCCCCAGCCCAGCCTGTCAATCACACCCCGACCCCGCCCCCAGCCTGTCAATCACATCACACCCCGCCCCCAGCCCAGCCTGTCAATCACACCACACCCCGCCCCCAGCCCGGCCTGTCAATCACACCACACCCCGCCCCCAGCCCAGCCTGTCAATCACACCCCGACCCCGCCCCCAGCCTGTCAATCACACCACACCCCGCCCCCAGCCCGGCCTGTCAATCACACCACACCCCGCCCCCAGCCCAGCCTGTCAATCACACCCCGACCCCGCCCCCAGCCTGTCAATCACACCACACCCCGCCCCCAGCCCAGCCTGTCAATCACACCACACCCCGCCCCCAGCCCAGCCTGTCAATCACACCACACCCCGCCCCCAGCCCAGCCTGTCAATCACACCCCGACCCCGCCCCCAGCCCAGCCTGTCAATCACACCACACCCCGCCCCCAGCCTGTCAATCACACCACACCCCGCCCCCAGCCCAGCCTGTCAATCACACCACACACCGCCCCCAGCCTGTCAATCACACCACACCCCGCCCCCAGCCCGGCCTGTCAATCACACCACACCCCGCCCCCAGCCTGTCAATCACACCACACCCCGCCCCCAGCCCAGCCTGTCAATCACACCACACCCCGCCCCGCCCCCAGCCTGTCAATCACACCACACCCCGCCCCCAGCCCAGCCTGTCAATCACATCACACCCCGCCCCCAGCCCAGCCTGTCAATCACACCACACCCCGCCCCCAGCCCAGCCTGTCAATCAAACCTACACCCCGCCCCCAGCCTGTCAATCACACCACACCCCGCCCCCAGCTCAGCCTGTCAATCACACCACACCCCGCCCCCAGCCCAGCCTGTCAATCACACCACACCCCGCCCCCAGCCCAGCCTGTCAATCACACCACACCCCGCCCCCAGCCCAGCCTGTCAATCACACCACACCCCGCCCCCAGCCCAGCCTGTCAATCACACCACACCCCGCCCCCAGCCCAGCCTGTCAATCACACCCCAACCCCGCCCCCAGCCCAGCCTGTCAATCACACCGACACCCCGCCCCCAGCCCAGCCTGTCAATCACACCACACCCCGCCCCCAGCCTGTCAATCACACCACACCCCGCCCCCAGCCCGTCAATCACACCACACCCCGCCCCCAGCCCAGCCTGTCAATCACACCACACCCCGCCCCCAGCCCGTCAATCACACCACACCCCGCCCCCAGCCCAGCCTGTCAATCACACCACACCCCCCCCCCAGCCCAGCCTGTCAATCACACCACACCTCGCCCCCAGCCCAGCCTGTCAATCACATCACACCCCGCCCCCAGCCCAGCCTGTCAATCACACCACACCCCGCCCCCAGCCCAGCCTGTCAATCACACCCACACCCCGCCCCCAGCCCAGCCTGTCAATCACACCACACCCCGCCCCCAGCCCAGCCTGTCAATCACACCACACCCCGCCCCCAGCCCAGCCTGTCAATCACACCCACACCCCGCCCCCAGCCCAGCCTGTCAATCACACCACACCCCGCCCCCAGCCCAGCCTGTCAATCACATCACACCCCGCCCCCAGCCCAGCCTGTCAATCACACCACACCCCGCCCCCAGCCTGTCAATCACACCACACCCCGCCCCCAGCCCAGCCTGTCAATCACACCACACGCCGCCCCCAGCCCAGCCTGTCAATCACACCCACACCCCGCCCCCAGCCCAGCCTGTCAATCACACCACACCCCGCCCCCAGCCCGGCCTGTCAATCACACCACACCCGCCCCCAGCCTGTCAATCACACCACACCCCGCCCCCAGCCCAGCCTGTCAATCACACCACACCCCGCCCCCAGCCCAGCCTGTCAATCACACCCACACCCCGCCCCCAGCCCAGCCTGTCAATCACACCACACCCCGCCCCCAGCCCAGCCTGTCAATCACACCACACCCCGCCCCCAGCCCAGCCTGTCAATCACACCCACACCCCGCCCCCAGCCCAGCCTGTCAATCACACCACACCCCGCCCCCAGCCCAGCCTGTCAATCACACCACACCCCGCCCCCAGCCCAGCCTGTCAATCACACCACACCCCGCCCCCAGCCTGTCAATCACACCACACCCCGCCCCCAGCCCAGCCTGTCAATCACACCACACCCCGCCCCCAGCCCAGCCTGTCAATCACACCCCGACCCCCGCCCCCCAGCCCAGCCTGTCAATCACACCCCGACCCCGACCCCGCCCCCAGCCCAGCCTGTCAATCACACCAAACCCCGCCCCCAGCCCAGCCTGTCAATCACACTACACCCCGCCCCCAGCCCAGCCTGTCAATCAAACCTCACCCCGCCCCCAACCCAGCCTGTCAATCACACCCCGACCCCGCCCCCAGCCTGTCAATCACACCACACCCCGCCCCCAGCCTGTCAATCACACCACACCCCGCCCCCAGCCCAGCCTGTCAATCACACCACACCCCGCCCCCAGCTCAGCCTGTCAATCACACACACACCCCGCCCCCAGCCCAGCCTGTCAATCACACCACACCCCGCCCCCAGCCCAGCCTGTCAATCACATCACACCCCGCCCCCAGCCCAGCCTGTCAATCACACCACACCCCGCCCCCAGCCTGTCAATCACACCACACCCCGCCCCCATCTGGTTTCTGAGCTCTTCTTGAACTCTGCCGTCTGTGACACTGTTGACCATTCTATTCTTCTCCACCGCCTCTCCTCTTAGCTCTACAATCATGTTTCTGTCCTTGCCTCGTTTCATTCTTACTTCTTCCACATCTCCACTTCATATCTGCCAACGCTTCCAAAGGCATAGGGTTAACTTCCAGTGTATGTGGATGACACCCAACTCTACCACTCTGTCTCCATCCTCAATTCCAGGACCACTGCTGTTCTGACCGATTGCCTATCGGACATGAAGTTGAATACGTCAGAGGCTCTCCTGCTTGGCTCCCGTCATCGCCGACTCACCTCAGGTGTTGACAGTGTAAATCTACATGGATAGATTCTCCACCTCACAGAGCAAGTGTGGAACCTTGGTGTCTTGTCCTTTAAACCCCACTTCCGTGCTCTGACCCATTCAGCCTTCCCCCACCTCCTGTTGGGGGTCAGGCCTTTCTGCCCCTACTCTCTGGCACTCCATCCCGGAGACCCTCCGCCTCGCGCCTTCTCTCACTTCCTTCATGGTCTGCCTCAAAACCCTAACCTTTGACTGTGCTTTTGGTCATCTCCTACCCCTCTTTGGTGTCCACCCCTCTTAAATCCAATCCCCAGCTCAGGTGCAAATCCTTGACTGTCCAGCACCTTGGGATGTCCTCCTGAGGTGAAAAGAGCTGTATAAATGTCAATTTTTTGTTTAACGTTACAGCGTGAATCTGGCACAAGAGACAGTTAACTCTCCCCAAATCTGATTAGCACCTTCCTGTCTTCTTGTAAATCTATGACACTGTGTTTCCTGTATTCAGCTTACCGACAGTTACCTTGCAAATGCATAAAATTTACCCCGAGAACACAAAGGACCATTGTTTTTGTCGGTTTCAGTAGAAGCACAGCATTGAAAATCAATATATAAAAAGACAAGTGATGAATCATACAGTTCATAACTGCAAGCGAGCATTTTTCTTTCTGTGGAACTCGTTCTCAACACCCACATTCACCCACAACCTCGTACCCTCCCTCCACAGGATAAACCTGGGTGGAACTTTGTGCATTAGATAATAATAATTGTAATAATCCTTGTGGAGTGCGGTAGCTCAGTGGTTAGAGCGCTCCCCTCGCACGTGAGAGACCTGGGTTTGATTCAGAAACCTTGGGCAAGTTTCCTTACTCTACACCCCTGATAATAATCTCTCAAAAAAAATTTAGTCATGCAATCCACGGCTGTTTTTGGGATGCTGCTGGGCACAATTGGCTGCCACGTTTTACCCACAAAAATACAGTTAATTCACTTTACAACAACAACAAGATTGCATTTATAGAGCACCTTTCACGTCGGGAGGACGTCCCAAGGCGCTGGACAGTTGGGTCGGGACCCGAGCAGGGGGGAAATGGTCAGGATAAGGGGAGGGAAGGGAGGGAGCGAGGAGGGAGTAGAGTCGAGAGGGGAGGTGAAGGCACGGTTGAAGAGAAAGGTCTTGAGACCGACCTTGAAGGAGGAAAGGGAGGAAGCGGCGAAGGCACTGGGGGATGGAATTCCAGAGCCTGGGGGCTGAGAGGCTGAAGGCCACCGATGTTAGGG